CACAGCGGTTCATCATAAAATTTTCATTGATCAATTTTTCCCGCAATTGACAGTAAGAACGAATGCAGAAGCGTTGTCTGATTGACAAGCAGCAGCTACATGTGTTCAAAAGAATCTAAAACGCCAAATATGATGATTACTAAAATGTCATTTATCTATTAAAACTGGAAATAAGTAGTCTGAAGAAAAATTGAAATGTAATAAAATGGAATTTGTAAAAGATAAAATAAGGGAATTCTATATTACAGTATGTTCAACTCTAGGATTATCTAGTGTAGTTTTAAAAAAACAATTTTGAACTTGTTTTAAATTAAATATTTAATTTTATTTTTTTTATTGATGCATAACAGTCATAGAGTTGCAAATATAAAGAATCAGTAAGACATCAATTGTTACAATCTATCTGTAGAAAACAAAATTAGTTCACATTTTCTTTCTATCTGAATCAAACAGTACAATTATAAGTTCAAGCATCAAACAATATTTAGGTCAAAAACACAAATTAAAAAATATATAATAATAATAAGATAAATAAAATAACCTTTTAAATAAAACTAACACATATTTAGCCACTTCAGCATTACAGCAAAATATGTAAATACAAATATGCAAAGGTACAGCAGTAAAAAATACTAATAAACAAAACGAAGAAAGGGGAAAAACAAACATACACTTTTTTTGTGCTCTCCATTCGTAACTAACCCAGGGGCAAGGAAAATAGATGAGGTATAGATTTTTTTTTAAATATTTGACGTAAAATAAAGCAGTTAAATATTTAAAACTAAGTTGGAGGTTGTATTGTTAGAAAAAAATGCCCATACACAAACGTTGCAGGTCAAACATCAACTTTTAATAAGAGAATTGATTTCTGACAGCAGGTTGGAGTGACGTGTGGTTGAGCGAGCAGCAGTGGTGATGATGTTTGAACAGCAGTCAGGGAAGTGGACGGGTGCGGTGGTCATTTTTTTGCTGAGCTGGTCTTTCTCCTGTTCCTGCTTCCTGTGTTCAGTCTGAAAAAGCCCCTCATTCTGGGATCCACAGTGCTGCGTGCATGATCTCACACCACCCCTACTTAACACAGCAGCAGCACCACCCTGGAAAAGCCCAGGCTGCTGGATAAAGCTGCGTAATCCTGCCAAATAAATGGGTCATTCTCCACCTGCTAATTTGGCCTTTGAAAGCAGGGAAAGCCGGTGTTACCAAAATTCAGGAGTTAAGTCTTCTATTCACACTTGAATAGATTTGTTGAACGATAAAGAAGATGTTTGTATTTTTTCCTAAAGCTCCTACCAGATTAAGATGTCTGGTTTGCAGATGGCCATATTTTAATCCTCACAATAGGTTAAAACTGGCCGCTCTCTGTTTGAAGGCTTCGAAGGCGACAGGATTTCAGGTTTTCTTTAATGAGTTATGGAGATGCTCAGCCTGCAGTCTCTCACCGTTCATCCCCCAAGTTAATCTCATTTTAAGTTTCTGGCCCACATTTTCAATTTATAATTACAGCAGCATCTTTGAAAGCCCAGGGAGAACCGACAATGACAATGCACTCTCTCCTCTGCCCGTGTACGGGACCGTAACCACTGCTCTGCTGCTGTAATGAGAATTCACAGGAGAATTTTGTGCGCTGACTGATTGCTATCTACATGTAAGCAGAGCATGTTTGTTTATAATAGAAAGATGTAAAACCAAACAAGAGTAGACGTGGATGAAACCTGTTTTGGAGACTGTTTAGGGTTTTTTCCCCTCAGTTAATTTGTCCAAGATGAACTCTTAGTGTGCACACTTTATATGATAACATCATTGCAGTGTGGTTTGTGTGCAAGTAACCGAGTTTGCCAAAACTAAAACCAAACAACCGTCGCAGGTTTGGAGCAAAAACATCCAGTAATGATTTTTGCCTTGTCGATTGATGCATCTGTATTCTAAATACAAACTTGTCATCTGACGTATTGACCTTACATGATCTGAGGCCTGCTGGTTTTGCAGTCATTGTATATTAAATGTGACTGGTTGCTATAAATGAAATAATTTTTCGCTCATTGTTTGATTTCTTGGACTGTATCTTGGGATCAGATCACTCCTCCGCTCCTGCAGATGTCCTGTAAGATTGTATTAGTTAACTCTTCATTTTAGTCATCAGCATTAGGACCACTATGTGTACCGGTGGGAGCTGTTTACCACTGTAGCTTAGTGTTAATTCAGAAAAGCTCCGAAAACGCCATGTGTTGTTGATTTCACTATTTTAGTCAGATTTATTTTTAAAATGTAACATGCAGAGAAGCGTTTAGAGATGCAAGTGAAGGTTCCCACTCATTTGCATTCATTCAGGGTATCTGCGGGGTCTTAAAAAGTCTCACGCCCTTGAATGATACATTGTTGCATCTTCTGCCGTCTTTAAGTTGTTTTCACACCACACTGCTGGCTTTGGTCCGAACCAGTTGAAACGAACCAAAATGCAGTCATCTGACTAAATCCACATCTCTCATTGGCCAGATGTTGTTAAACATATTTCCTAAACTGCTTATGGATTGGTCAGAATTCATGTGCGGGAAAATGCCAGTGAACTCCCGCAGGTAAACAAAACCTTTTATCCTGGAGGGATGACTGCGCTGGCTGATTGTATCCCTGCTTTAGACAAACTATACATTACGAAAATGAATCGCGGGCGCGGCTGTTTTAATGCATCGCTCGTCACTTCAGGAGGAGGCGTGAATTAATTTAGCTAAACTGCGACATGGTCATCTTGCGTAATTATTACCAACGATCCATCAGGTAATGTTTTTCCCTCTCTCTCTCTCTCCGCTGTCAACAAATATTTTTCCTCCATATCCCATAAAGCACAGCGCATCGGCCTACAGCAGCTAAATTAGTCCAAAACGCGCAGTACTTTTTGCGGTTGGACATGTTTTAGTACGGATCATATTCTCACCACAAACGAACCGCTCCAGGGTTTGTTTGGAAGCATACTGAGACCACCTCTTTAAGCAGGTCTCGGTACTCTTATTTGGTCCGCTTTTGGTGCGCACTCGAGTACGATTGCTGCATTCTCACCTGCCCAAACGAACCGTACCAAAAGGGAAAACGAACTCTAGTGCGATTCAATCGAATTAAATAAGGCAGGTGTGAAAGCACCCTAAGACTAGTCAAGATTAAATTGAATGTTTGAGATGTCTCAACTCAAAATAACTTGCGGTGAGATGTCTTAAAATACATCAGTATTATTTTTTGTCTCCAGGTGCACACGAGTAATATATTTTTCTAAGGCCATTTTTATAAATGCGGCTTAAATAGCCTAATTTAACTAAGGCCTAGTCCTGGCCTAAACCCTGTTGTGAAACTAGGCCATTATGTCTTAAATTTTCAAAAAACAAATATTAGGCCTTAAAAAGTCTTAAATTCTCTGTAGTTCTTATATCATTTTAAACTGCTCTGAATTTTGCTATGTTCATAAAAAGCTATACGTAATTGGGCCGACACCCAGCCAATCAATAACAATATATTTAAATAAAAGTTTTAAGAAACTTGTATTTATTAACTCTTTTTGCTTATTAATATGGTTCATTGATCTTCCTTACAATAAAATTAGTTTTAATGCTTTTTTAGGGTTTTATATTGACCATAAAAATAATTCTCGTTTAGCCTTGTTTAAGTCTGAAATTCCATTCTTAATTGTCTTAAAATAGTGCTAAAAACTCTTAAATTTGATTTGATAAAACCTGTAGAAACCCTCTTATTGTGCATCAGCAGCTTTTACAAATGGAACTGAAATTGGTCTAAATACTGGAATCCAGCAGACCATGATAAACAAATCCAGATATAAACGACATAGCAGATCTAAATACAAAGTAGGGCTGTGCAATTGATCGAAAATCCGATTTCGATTTTGGCTTTAACGATTAGGAAGAACCATTAATCGAGATAAATGATTATTCCATCATATACCACCCCTTTCCAGTTGTAAACATTTGTTGCTCTGCAAAGCTCAGTTCCACATGAAAATAACTAAAAGCATGTACTGTAATGTAACGTTTGCAGCACGAGATGCGCATCATTCATTGATGAACCTTCGAATCATTCATCTTTTAAAAACGCTGTTGTGTGTGTGCGCGCTTAGCCTCGGAAACGAGCGGTGCACACACATCTAACACCATCTTAATGCAAGCGCTTTAATGGTCAAATACATGCACATTTGTGTCAGAGCACGGTGTTTAGTGATTATTCATATTAACCCTCATTTGTGTAATAAACAAACGAGTTGAGAATCAGAAGACATGTGAAAGAGAAACCATATCAGAACCGCACTATTCTTAAAGTGACAGTGCGCAAATATTACTACTGCCGTCTGTTTTTATTAGTAATAAAACAACAAAAGGACAAAATCCCTCACTGCTCTTGAATGAAGGACTTTTGTAGTTTTCTTTCTTACGGTGAAGATGCTCAAAGCACGGTTTGTTTCATATTTTTATTCTATTATATTCCCTTTCCTTATTCACAAGGAGGAAAATAACTGTGCATATATACAGTTTAAGTCAGAATTATTAGCCCTCCTAAATTATTAGCGACCCTTTCCCCCATATTTCTGTTTATTGAAATATTTATTTTCAACCTATTTTTAAACATAACAGATTTAATAATTCATTTCTAATAACTGATTTCTTTTTATCTGTGCTATATGATGACAGTACATTATATTTTACTAGATATTTTTCCAGATACTACTTTTCAGCTTAAAGTGACGTTCAAAAAGTCTTAATTAGTGTAATTAGGCAAGTCATTGTATAACAGTTGTTTCTTCTGCAGACAGTCAAAAATATATATTGCTTAAGGGGGCTAATAATATTGAGCTATTAAAATAGGTTTCAAAATATTTAAACCTGCTTTTATTCTAGCCGAAATAAAACAAATAATCTTTTCTCCTGAAGAAAATATAAAAACTATAAAAACAGCAAAGGAGCAAGGTTCTACAGTGTTTAAAATGTTTTCTGAAACTGTTTTCTCAGGTACAGAGACCCCCTGGCCCCCCATTTACTGCACATGAAATCAACAAGGGACACCCTAACCTAGCGGCTACCCCGCCGGGTCATGCCTCTTCCCCTGGACTATCTCAGGTATCAGTTTCAACAGTATCCACTGCGCATCTCTATGGTCATCCTAAAGGCTGGGAGCCAGGAGGAGGGGTGAGTGCAACTGAAAATCTGTCTCAGTCTACCTGTATGTCTGCTAGGGTTGGGCAATATATTCAGTATTTAAGAAATAAAAAAAATATATAAATTTAAAGATTGAAGAATTTAAGAAAGATATTAACGATTTTATTTTCACAAGTAATGTAAGAGAGATTAAACATGATTTTTTTAGTAATCTTAGTGAAGTTTATTTAGCTTTTTGCTTTAGATTTTAAAAAAAAAGTTGAAAGGATCTTTGCAATGATATACGTTAAAATAAACAACCACAAGCTGTCTAGACTGCTATGAAGGATGTTTAGATAAATGTAAATGTGCTTCTTGCTTCTTTTCTATGAAAAAAGAAACATAACAAAAAATACAACATTGAGTAAACAGCAGTTAATAAACCATTGTCTGCATGTTTTAATGTATAGAAACTTTAAACTGAACAATTAAAATTCTCTAATAATTTTCTCAACGTCACTTAGCTATTACCTATTAGGGCTAGGCCATTAATCGAAAAGTATATTTTCCTGGACAATTTTTTTTCCCAATTACTTTACCTTTTCACGTGTCACGTGAGCCCGCTTTGTTAAAGGCTTGGCTCATTTATTCTTCTGAGGCCAATTTGCAGCCGCATCTGATCTCTGTACTTGCTATAAAATAAAAAAATAATGAAACATTTCTGTTTCTCCAAATCCATGATTTCATAAATACATTGTAAAAGAAATCATTAATAATTGAGAAATCATTATACATCATTTTTACTTTAACCCTCCAGTCGTAGTTTTAATGCTGCACCTTTGTCCTGTAGTTGATAAATGTCAGGGTTGAGCTAGTTTGCTAGATTTCTGATTCAGTTCGGACTCTTAATTTCTACATCAATGAAAGATTCTAAACTCTGATTCATTTCATTCTTATTACAGTGTTTTGTTATATTAGCAATGTATACTATCAGCAACATATAAGTGATTATATAACTAATTCAATTTTGTTCATTTAGTATGAAAAACATTCTTTCATTATTCTGATTTAATTATTTACTTCATCAATTTAATCATTATTAATTTAGAATAAAAATGAATAACTAATTTTGTCAAAACGTATGGTGTCAACCCTAATCTAATACATAAATATTGTGACGTATTATAAATAATGTCAAAAAGCTTAAAATGCTGGGAAAAATAGCTATATTGCCCAGCCCTATTTCTTGTCACCATTAATCAGTGCATCACTTATTGATTGTCTTGTTTCTCACAGATGCATTACACACAGATAGAAAATCTTTAGAGGTCAGGAGGAAGGGATATCGGATAACCCAATGCAGATAAACATTTCCTATGATGCAATATAAACCATTGATTTCTGTGGTAAATCACAGCACTTCTAATACTCTAATAATACTGACATGAAGTAAAACCTAGCTCGTTTTCTTGAGCTAATGCGGATTTGATCTCAAAGATTACACCAAGAAGCTGATAAAACCGTAAATGTATATCATATTTAAGGAACCTGCTGTGCAAGTTGTCAAACAAAGTTCATCTTACTACAGTCATTGAATACAACTGGCAAATTAATAAGATGTTTGACATGTAGACATGCAGACTTCCTGCTGTGAAGTGCTTTACAGTGAACTGTATTGTTAATATTTGATAGAGACATCTTATGTAGGTATACCTCATGTTCTCAATTATAATTAAACTACAGGGATGTGTTTGTGTGTTATATTATAGGTACACCTATTACCAGTCTCTGTAGGTCCACCAAACTCGTGCGTTGTCATGCAAACAGACACACACACACACACATGCACGTGGTGATTCTGCCTCAGGAATAGAAAGTCTGTCAGGGTGACTCAGCTGTTCTCAGGCTTGTTATCTGTCTGAAACCAATGCTCACATTCCCACTCCACTGCCAGCACGACCGCCTATTAATAGGTTAAGAGTGCACCAATGGCTAAACCTTAATTACCCATGTACCCTTTCCTTAATCATAACATGTACATGTGAATGCAGATGAAGAATCGGGGAGGTTTGTGGATGTCTGGTGAATAGAGCTTTAGGCTGCTGTCTGTTTGAGGCTAACTGATTCATAGATCACTACTTTTAATAGGTTCCGTAACTAGTGGGTATCGAATAAGTGGGTGGCAGAGATTTTTAGAGTTACAGTATGCAGTACTCAAATGGGGGAATATAGGAAAGCGTTCTTATTGGGGGGGGGGGGGGGGGTATTTTGAAGTGGCTATGCTTTCAGAAGCTTAGTTTTAAAAACGATTCTAATTGATAATAATATAATTAACGTTTTCATGAGAAGCTATGAATAATTGAAAAAATGTAGATTGTTTTGCCTGCACGCAAGCAAACTTGGTCAGTTATTCATGCATGATTGACTCTGCTGCTGAGGTGGCTCTTTTTAGAAATTAAAGGGGGAAATTAGTTTCCAGTGCATTCGGATGAATCAAGTATGATTTTTACTTGAAACATGCCATTGAGAAATGGTCTGCTTAAGTTGTGCTTGCTGTGGATGTTTAGGTTGATCATCTGGCTTTGCAAACGTACACTTTTGGAATGCCCTATTTTTAATGTTATCAGACAAAGATTTTTATCTACAGAGACTTCAAATGAAATATTTTTAAATGTGAAACCTTTACAAAATTGTGAAATAAAAAATGTAAAAAGCCTTCAACTGTTTTAGATTTTTATGTTATATATTATTAATATTATTATTATTATTATTATTTATGTATTATATCTTATGTATTATTTATTCATGGTGTCCGCGGGAGTCTTAAATTTTAAAAATGTAGGCCTTAAGAAGTCTTAAATTCTCTGAAATATTGTCTTGTAGGTCTTAGATCATTTTAAACTAGTCTTAGTTTTCCTATGTGCATTTAAAGCTACCCAATCAGGCCAACTTTCAATTACCAATAATCCATTTTAAAACTTTATATTTATATTCAAGTACTTTTATTGCAATGAGATACAATTTGAAACGGCTGTTTTACAGCAAATTCTCCCAATTAAATTCCCTTATCAGGGAAAGAAAACCAAAGCAATGCATCCCATAACAAGATCTTTTATTAATGAAAAACTACACACAGAAGAAACTAGGCCATTAGAAAAATCCTTTAATCTTAGAAAAAAAATCAACCTTAATAGTCTTAAAAGGGTCTTTAAAAGTCTTAAATTTAACTAAAAGAATCCCACAGAAACCCTGTTTAAAGCTGTTGATGTATTTTTATTGATATATTTTTTATTATTATAGAAAAATGAGATTTATACAATTTGATCTTGTTTTGCCATGAAATAGCCAGAGAAGCTGATATGGCAATAAATAAATAAAAATCTCTCCCCCTCTCTCTCTCTCTGGCTTTGGCTTGAATTAATATGTTTAAACTGACACCATTCTTTACCCCTTTGGTTTGAGGAAGCCTCCAGAACTGAAATTCAGATTTTGTTTCATGCAATCACTGTAAGAAGTTGATCAATAGACTGGCCAATCTGACCAATCAGAGCAGAGAAGGCCTGTTTGGAATTTAGGAGCAGTTTAGAAATCAGAAACCAGTCTGTCTTTAATGAGCTTTTCTGTGTCACTTTTAGAAATTAGGCGATTTGATGTGTATATTATGATGCATTTAATTTTTTGAATGGTTTTGATTTGTATAAAAAAAAAAACCCCAAAAAAACTAGGAGACAATATTCGAAACCTTCGAAGTCCACAAAACAATACAAGACTGACCAATCTTTCAGTCCCTTCAGCAAAACATTAACATTTTAGATGCAAGAGCACTTGGTCCACAACACACAAGCCATTATGAATCTACTCTTTAACAAGATAAACTGTCAGCAAAATAAATTTATGACAAATAAAACCTTAAGCTGCTTTAACAAAAGAAGGTTCCCAAAATTCTGCTCTGCTCCGCCATCCTGTACAGTTCAAAATTGCCTGAACTCAATGGCACACAAATGCTACGATTGTGCCCACTCACGTCTGCTCAAGACTACGCCTCTATTTCTCTCTCTCTTTCTCTGGCTTGAAGGCAGCGTTGAGGAGATGGCAGATTTGTCAGTGTCAGCAGACCGCAGTGTTTGCAGCGGCAGGGAGTGGACACACTCACTCTGTCACCCACACTCACGCAGCACACTCACTCAGTTGTAGGGATTTTTATCAGAGACCGTAAAACTCGCATCCATCCTAACAACTGTGTCTTCTTCTCCGCCGGTGGTCGCTCCTCCTCGACCTCTCTGGGACCCTGTGACTCTACAGTCTCCGTACACAACGGGACAGAATGCCGGCACGACCCCTCTGGTATACTCTCCAACAACCCAGCCAATGAACGCACAGCCTCAGAGCCGCCCGGTAAGTGCATATGATTCATAATTCTACAGCGTCCGATCTTTATAGAAATGCATCCTTTCTGCCATGTGCTATGCTGTTGTTTACGGTGTGGTTTGTGGTGATCAGTTGGTGCTGCTGTGTCTATATGGTTCATATAACATGCCTTGCGTCATTACTTCCTCTCAGGAGGTGCGCTGCATATGCCATGTACAGCTTGTGGTTTATGTGTTTGGTGGTGATCATTCTTACTACTTTCTTTCTCTCTGATTCTCTCCTTCTGCCATGCCACTCTTTGCCTTCAATCAGTTTGCCCCTGGGCCTCGTCCTACCCATCACCAGGTAATGTACGCAAATGCATGGCTTCCTCTCTCACACCTCATAAGCTTTAGTATGTTTTTTTTTAGACTAATGCAACACATTGATTCTGTTCGTTGTGATGGTTTGGATTGTTTACAGCTCCAATATATTTAGGAGTAATGTACTGGAAAGGCTTTCATGGGCCCCATGAGAGTGAGGCCCCAGTAAAGTATGCCATGGCAGTGGTTCCAAATGTTGCAAATCCCCCTTTGAAATGAAGTGAAATGAACATAATTATTTTGTGTTGTGATATGAAAAATAGGCTACATGGCAAGCTGCAAGAAAACTTTTATAAACCATTATATAAACTATTATAAACTATTTTATAATGATAATATATTTAGAACACTTACCTAGGGTCCTTTCTTCGTACTTTGCTTAAATGATTTGGCAGATCCTGGATCATTTGATCTTAATAACTGATCTCTTGCTAATTTGGTTCTTCAAACAAGTTCGCGAATCAGATTAAAATGTCTGGATGGACTGATCTGAGATCGCTGCGTATGTTGTGAAGGAATGATCTAGCAGCGTAATGACATCATCTGATTAATATTCAATTACATCAATTCATAATAAAAACTGTTAAAGCATAATACGCAATAACTTTCCACATTTGTTGTAGGCTTCTTTGTTGTAAACATGATTTACAGTTTCATGTGTCGAGTAGCAATTGATTTAGTTTTACTTTAAGAGCGGATTTTCTTTATTATAGTAGGCCTATTCAAGTTTCTTAATAAATGTGCATCAAAAAGGCAGTTTGTTTTATTTAGTAGGTGTAGGTGTAGGTGTCTGCAATTTTTGCGATGCAAATCATCGCCATACTAGCTGTCAAAACATGTGCGTGATTGCATGAATTATTTTGTAGTGTAGATTGCATAAATTTCATTCATTCATTTACTTTTTGGCTTAATCCCTTTATTAATCTGGGGTCGCCATAGCGGAATAAACCGCCAACTTATCCAGCATATGTTTTTACGCAGAGGATGCCCTTCCAGCTGCAACCTATTTCTGGGAAACATCCATACACACTCACTCACAAACTTACATTATGGACAATTTAGCCCACCCAATTCACCTATACCGCATGTCTTTGGACTTATGGGGGAAACCAGAGCACCCTGAGGAAACCCACGCCAATGCGGGGAGAACATGCACACTCCACACAGAAACGTCAACTGATCCAGCTGAGGCTCGAACCAGCAACCTTCTTGCTGTAAGGCAACAGCACTACCTACCAAGTAACAGCGTTGCCTGCATAAGTTTTATTCATAATTTTTTAAAGCTATTATAAGTAACATTTTTTAAAACTATTTGACTATTTTCCCCGATGTACATAATCTATTACTACTGTAAAAAAATTTCAGCATTTGGTGCATACTTTCAGAACCATCTTTGCTTCAAAAGACCCAATCTAATCATGTTTGTATGAAAAAGCTACTGCTACCTAATAGGGCTGTGCGGTTAATCAAAATTGAATCGTAATAGCGATTTGAAACGTTGCGATTATCTAATCGCAAGAGGCTGCGATATGTAATATATTTGTATTTAATTTCACCATGCCCAGAGCAAATGCGTGACTGACTGTGTGTGATAGTCTTACTAGCCAATTGAGGGAGGAGTGTCTTGCTGAAGTCAACTGAAAGTATTGCTACTAACTCTAGTAGCAAGCAACAGCAAAGTACAATGGCAGAGTTGTTTCAGCCATGTTAGTTTGCTGAGTGTTCTGTATTTTTATAACTATTATTTTTTAAAAAGCTACTCTATCTCCCTAGATTAAGTTTAAATTGTTTACAGAAAGGTAAGGTCATTTAATTTGTATTTGCTGTTTGCTTTGGAGAAAATTGAGTGTTTCATTTTTAAATATTTAAAAATAAAATTAAATGTTTAAGTAAGTTAATATATTTTTAGCTTCTTTTTTTAACTAACACTCGTTGCATTTTATCAGTAAGAAACTACAATACAGATTATTGAGCTGAAGTGTGACTACAAAATTAAAACACAAATCAAATTGAAATCGCTATATCTGTCAAAAAAAATCACAGTTAAATATTTTCCCCAAATAGCACAGCCCTACTCCCTAGCTGGTTTGAGCTACCAGATCTGTTGCTATGACAACAACTCTTGGATGAGTTTTGAAAAATGAAACGATCCTGGATCGAACCAAATCCAGCTAATTGAGTAATCCATGTACGAAAAACAGACCCCTGGGATCCAGACTAACTTTTTAAACAGGGCGAGCTCACCAACTTTATCACAATTTAAGGCCACAAGCAAAACAAAACACAATTATTAGCATTTTTCCTATTTCAGCTATATTACTTACAAATGCTTTGCTATTTAAATAATTCAATTTAATCCTGTTTTAAGATTACAATGATAGCTCAGACTCTAGACTAAACTATGAGAGCTGTGCCAAAAGCATCTGATTTAGTATAAAACATGCTATGTCTGTTACAATGCACATTTGACAGTATTTTGAACTTGGCTTACTTTAAAGGTAACTAGATTCTGAGTTAGGATGTATATACATTACTTTCTGTGTATGAATATCATGATTACAACAGGTATAGCTACTGGCTACCACAGTAAAGCAGGGTGGGACCTTTAGTGGCCATGACCATGTAGACTCAAAAAGAGGACCTAAACTTTTGTGAACAGAATATATGCCATTTTAAAATGAACATTTTTGAAACTACAAACTTTCTGTTTTGTTCGTGTGTGATGGGATGATTGAACATGAGATTGACAGACGGATTGATGCAATCCATTTACTACTCAGTCAGTTTATGTTTTTACTCTTACCTATGACCCGAGGCTCATGACCGAAAGGACAAGATATTGTACACAAGAGCCCAATTATGAGACTCTTTTCCACCCTAAGAGATTGTGTGAGAAGCTTTGTTACCTGGTAGATGCTCAGACTAAAGCCACTGCTCCTTCATATTTGTTTTTTGGATACCTCCTAAATGCCTACCTGGAGAGGTGTTCCAACATGTCCCACCGAGAGAAGGCCTCAGGGAGGACCATGGATAGCTGTAAGGACTATGTCTCTGCTTATCTGGGAACACATTGGGATCCCCCTGGTGGAGCTGAAGGATATGTCTAGGGAGAGGGAAGTCTGGTTCCCTGCTGAGACTGCTGCCATATCAGCCAGTCCTGGATAAGCAGTTAAAAACGTATTGAGGGATGGATAGTAATTATACAATTTTCATTTGTGAACTTTAAACGTTTACCATATAACATTTGAAGAACTTTTAAAATATTATTCTTTAAATAGTTTAGGTCCTCACTAAGTGCCTAGAGGTCCCCCTGACAATTCCTCTTTGAGGAAAAAGTAGCCTAACACCTTCATATGTAATTGCTGACAAAACAGACCTCCTATCTGATCTCATTATGGCTGTTTACACCTGGTCACCTCAAGCTTTTTTTTGATCAGATAGCTATTCGACTGTGGAAAAGGCAGGTCTAAATTCTCTCTAAAATGCTTTCGAGACTGATATAATTCACATCTCTCAGACCACTTCAAGATGTTGAAACGCATTCCAGATGAATCTGGTACTAACCCAAATGCATCTGATTGTTGAAACCACGTGTATATTTTACTCCCACTATTAAAAAAAATAAACTCGAGAGGGCATGTGTTGTCGGCTATGACCCGTCAGATATACAAGTGCAAATGCATAAGCTACACAAATGCTTAAGGCCACAGATGACAGTTTGAGCCGTTTTATGTAAGTTTTTACCTTTCATTTTATTTTGACCATGAAATTAAATTGTCAAATGAATATCAGATGGCAGCTTTAACATCAGACAAAACACACACCTGTAGCCTGTCTCAGTTAAAAGAGAGGAATAATAATCGAAAAATAGATTCATTTAAATTGACACATGGGAGAATGTTATGCACAAATTAATTTAAAAACAGTATTTCAGACTTGTGAATGAGTGTGTGTGAATGCCAACATTTGGCCAGTAGCCTTGTCATGGTCCTTATAAAAATGTTCAGGAACTTGTGAGTGTATTTGCAAACATCACAAGACTACATTTAGCCTGCACACCCTTAAAAAGATAGTTTACCCTAAAAACAAAAACGATCATAATTTATTCTCCCTCATGTTGTTCAAAACCTGTAAGACTTTCTTCAGTGTAACACAAAGTTTTTTGGCGCAGTGTTTTTTGTTTTCTTCTTTAGTGTTCCAGTGTTTTTGCACTCCAGCTCTCTTCAAGACTGTATTTTAGCTGATTTAAATGACAAAAGTATATATTTTTTGTGCACTGCCCCTTTAGTGAATCACTTACTTGTCTCATAAGTGACACCAATAATTAATCATAAAAACAATGATCCGTCATGATCATTCTCTCTGACTTTTTGCTGAATCCTACAATTTGTCATCGATTCTGCCAAATGATTTTGCTAAAAACAGCCAAACAGATGCAGCGATCTGTCATAGAAGACAGTAAGTCGTACTGATTTGTAACGACATGAGAATGAGTAAATGCGGATGAACTGTTCCCCTAAAACATCAAAGTCTTGTAGTGTGCTTGGTGATTTAAAGATTGTGTATCTCTACTGTGAGGTTAGGCCATAGCTCACAGGAAGGAATCCTTTTAGTTCAGAATTATAGCCAGTTGTAGAGTGTAGATCTTGTCTGTTGTGGTCCGTTGACTGTGATCTACTACATTCAGGGATCACCCTGTCTGGCTTTTGGAGTGGTTTCCACACACCAGACACAAACAAACACACATTCAAAAATAAACATTTGGGAACACACAGTTCAGCAACACTCTTGGTTCAGATTTGTTTGTGTATAACTGGGAAATACTAGAAGCATCCGACCGGAACTTATTGAAATCATCAACACCACGTTAATAAATTTCCAGTATCTGAATCTTAAGGCTAGGTAACATTAAGGGCGAGAATTTAGGCTAAAGGTTACAACTATATAACTCTCAACATTTTTTAAACGCCTACATTATTTCAAGCTTCATGACTTTTGTGATGCAGAGAACAAAATTGAAAAGTAGAAGAATTGCAGAATCCAGTCATTAAAAATGAAATTTAAATTAACAATTACAAACATCTTGAATTAATAATTCAGAAGTTTTGTTCTGAATTTCTGAAGTTTTTTTTTCTAAACTATAGTTTTAGTTATGTATACATTGTCTAAATTACAGGGTAATATACAGTAAGTTCATGCTGCTAAACACAACTATATTGATGATGATAAAAATAATAATATGAATAAAAACTTAGTTCAAAATGTATACATTAATATTAAAACAATACCATAAGTCATCATTAAAGGCCCCATGAAATGAAAATAAAGTTTTTTAGATGTTAGTATCAGTTTTATTTGTTTTTAAGATGTCTATACGCTAGTGTGCTCCAAAACAATGACAATTCACATTTAGCAGATATAAAACTGATGTAAAACTTGTGGTACGTCACTTTCGCCCAAAAGGATCAATGGTTTCATTCACATCATCTCACACTGAAGTTTCTCATCACCTCATAACCAGTCAAATGCTTTATAGTATCTGACCTTCCTCACCCGCTTCAAGACGCTTCTCATTCGCTTTTCATTTGATGCACTTGAGCTCAACCACTTACATTTACTGAGCTGTCGTAAAACAACGTTTTTTAAGGGGAGGAGCTACACTATGTCCCACCCTCTCTTCATGTTTCGGCTGAGATTACGGCAAACATTGAATAAAAATGCTAATTTTAAAGCACATTACAGGACCTTTAATCAAGGTATCTTTTACATTGTAAAATGATTGAATTGCAGAATCCAATCATTAAAAAATGAATTAAATTAAATTCACACACTTAAATTAATAAGTGAAAAAGACTGCAAACACATTCAAAGCACGTTAAAAACTTTGTTTATATTAAACTGCAAAAAGACTAGTTGTATGAATAAATAGTGTGCCAATGAAAATTAGCGATAGTAATTTTGTTAACAGTGCAAGCATGTGCAATGCTAATTCTTTGTATATCTCCACTCTGTAACTTCACTAACTAATTATCATTAATTAATTTTTCCCTGATTTTTAAAACTGAAAGTAGTAATTATTCTTACCAGTACAGAATGGAAAGTAATAATAAAAAAATAAAGAAATCAGGGATAATATATATTTTATATGGCATTTTATATTTTATAAGTTGTGAAGACTAAAACTATTTTTTTGGAAAAAAGAAAAGATTTTATTGTGTCAAAGTTTCTCATTTATATTTCTGTCATGAACACTTTCAGGGTTTAGCATGCAATGAATATGTATATGGCAATGTTGATGTATTTGCTTTTGGCGGTACAGATATGCAATGCTGCTGCTGCTTTGAGTATTATGGCAGAGCAAGTACCGATACCTGCTACTGCCACTATTTACAAAGAAATGCTGTCTAAGAATATAACATTCTGCTGCTACAAACAATATATGTAACCCGTAGTAGATCTAAACACAGGTGGAGCTGGGGTGGAGGAGGGTCTCCGAAAATACGTAGAATGACGCTGAGCATTTGAACTGATGAGGAGCAAGCTCATTGGCTTTAGAGGTGATAGCAACCAATGTCCTGAGCCATTTAGTTAATGATGCAGGAGCAAATTAGGTGACCTTTCAGCCTGCGCACACATAGTTTCATGACAGAAATTTCACTTATAGTTCTACTTTTGTGTACATTTGTGTACATATAAGAACTCAAAAGTGTAATTTAGAGTATCTTCATGCTGCTCTCAAGCTACAAAAACAACCATTTTACTAATAATAAGATGAATTGGTATAATTTAATTATACAATATTAAGGCATCAATTAATACATAATTTACACTGTAATCCAATTCTTTTGATAACTTTGTGTGAGGAAATTAAAAGTAAAACCCTTTTAAAAAATTAGCTTTGAACATTACCATTGTATAAAACAGAGCAGCTTTATATGATGTGTATATTTCTCAATTTCTTGCATAAATGTTTTTAAACACAGAGTCTTCATCTGTGTGTTTCCTTCTCTAAATTATTATTCTGCGATTCATCCCACCTACAATGAGCCTCCAACCTCTGTCTCTTTAAATATTGTCACAAGAACTTGTTTTTGTCTGAGCCTGTATTTATCTTCCATCTTGTTTTATTAGCTCATCGTGAATGTTTGTGAGGTTTGGCAGGTTCAGGTCCTTTTTCTTGTCTTTAACGTAAAGATGATGTCACTTGGCTACCTAAAAAGTAGAGCATAGTGCCCTCTTGTTTTGTAAATGGCTTTCCCTGAAGGAAAGGCTCTTTGCATGCTTTGTACTGCACATCTATCCTTAACTGTGTGTGTGTGTGTGTGTGTGTTAGTCTCTCTCTATCCCTCCATACCAATTAGTGCATTATCCCATTAGCTTCTCTCTCTTTCCTGCTTCAATATTCAAGGGAGGATTCAGATCCATTCAGGTAATTTGCAGTCTTGAGGAAAATGCATGGCATGAAATCCTCTGTTTCTCTCTCAACGTCACCTTCCTCTTTCCCTGCCCAGTCAACTGCACTGCAGCTTACCACTACAAAGACAGCCAAATCCTTCATTTCTTGATGTTGCTTTAATTGACTTTTTAAAAGTGCTTGCTGCATTGTTTTGTTTTGTTTTGTTTTGTTAGGTTTGCATGTTGATCATTTCTTTATTCCTGTTGGAACTGGTTGTCAATGGGTGGGTTCACTGCTCTAGGATGATGTAATGCTTTTGAAACAAATTTTCTGGTAAAATGCAGGCATTGGCTTCATTCACACTGCAGGCAAATTTGGCCCAAATCCGATTAATTTTTTTGGCCTTATGTGACTTAATTCCAATTTCAATCCTGACAGTGACATGTCATTAAAGGTGCTGTATGCATGTTTTTGACTCTTCTAAAGCATAAGAACACCATAATATGTTTGCAGATATGTAAGAAACATGCCAAGTGAACATTCTTGTTTATCTGAAAAACAATGCTGAAGTCAGTTATTCTGCTTTGAAAATGTGCGCTACGAGCCGAAACGGCTGTCTTTGTTTAAGTTCTTTTAACCCGCCCAACGTCACTTTAGCAAATTATGTTTCAGCACCCTGGGTTGCCTTGTTGGAAAACTGCATATTTCATTCATTCAGTCAGATAGGCTCTCATAGCAGGTGTTCGTGACTAAAATGTGACGTCCGGTAGAAGCCTTTGTAATGAGATGCATATTCCAGTTGGAGTTCCACATGAGGTTATTAATTAGCAAATAATGCAAATATTACGAATGTAAACATTAGGTGAGCAGGTTACATTGTAACCTCATGTCCTAACAATACGCTACACAACGAGATTTGCAGTGATAAGCAATTTGGCTGTATACACTAGTCACAGAATATGCACTCATTCACAAAATGGTAGCGTTAAAATATAATTAACTCATAAAACCTCTTTAACTTTATTAGATGTACATGCTGAATCACTGATATGTGTTGCTTTACATTATTTCACAGTTCCAAAGTTCAAGTTCAAACGGTTTATTTTATTTTCAAGATCTGAGGTAAATTATCTGCTAGAGGTGTCAAAATTGTTTCTTCGGTGCACCGCGATGCAGACGTGGACACTTCTGTGCTCAGCAGACAATTGGTTCAGTAATAATCATAACCGGTTATTGTGTACTGACGTCATTTATCTCATATGTCACCGTAGTTAACTATAGTGAGGAAGGCGAGCGAGAGTATTTACAACGCTCCAACTACTTAAAAACACAGAAATTGTGCACAATTTCACTGCGTGTGTGTTTGCTGGATCAGTCTTTCAAGGACACTTACAGCAGAAGCCTCTATTTCACTGCAATTGAGAGAATGAAAGTACTCAATTTCTCTCTCTCTCTCTCTCTCTCTCTCTCTCTCACTCACTATGGGCACATTTGACCTGCTAGCGTAACTTTTTTTCCTCTCCTCTCGGCTGTTTTACAGCGATACTTCTGGATACAGACATAAGCGCGTACCTGCAGAGTTTTCTCCACCGTGCCTATAATAGATCAGCTGTGATCGCCGCTGCTGCCGGCCGCTTATCATTGTCACTCATCTGTGAAGAGCGCAGCGCGCAAGAGCCAATTGCAGTCGTTTTGTTTAGGGTTTGACCAATCAAAGGGTTGTAAGAGAACTTGCTAGACAAGGTTCAGAAAGCGAGCGGGACATTTTTATTTGTTTATAATAATTGCTATAAATGCTTGTGTTGTTTAAAGGTACAGTTTATATATCTGACTGTTTGTATTAAATGACAAAATTGCATTACAAATAGTATATAAATATAAATATATTCATACATTTTAATACAAGAATTCTGCTGTGAAGAAAATGTAAAACTGTGAATGGAAAGCACCGTCAATGCACCGTGATATCGAATTGAACCGAATCGATGGCATGATAAGCGTAACCGCACCGAACCGTGAGACCAGTGTAGGTTCACAGCTCTGTTATCTGCTGCTGCTTTCAGTAGTATGGTCAGAAATGTCTAAATGGCATTCACACTCGCAATGTTAGCATTTAACACTGAATAAAGTACATGAGGTGTGTCTGAGTTGATCATGTCATTAAGTTTTCTGTTGTTCAGCTGCAAAAAATAGAAGCTGTTTCTAAAACAAAACGTCCAGTTTAGACAAAATACTTTCATAATTTTTTTTTCCTTTTTGCCATCACCACTCATTTATATTGTTTGAATGTACCTGCGTGAAGTTACTATAGAAATGTAAGTTGCTTGCCCTTCATTGGTGTCAAGATTCAAGTTAAACCACAGCATCACATATGCGCATTGGATAAAAAGTCCTTTTATTGTAAACTGAGTTCTTATTCATTTTGCAATAGAAAATACAATATAAAGTGAATTGTAATTGGAGAGGAAACTGTTTTCTAGTGAAGGTTATAGTTTTTTAAACCTTAAAATATTATTAAAGAGAGACAGCTGGAGAGCCACATGTGGCTCCCGAGCCATAGGTTCCCTACCTCTGATCTAGCTCAACCATTGAGTGTCGAACTTACATACTGCATCTTTAAATGCATTACTTATCTGATGTTTTGCATGGCGACTGCAGTGTGAAAGGTTATGTCGGAATTTATGTGACTTTTAAAAGCGTCTTATTTTGCTCCTCAACGACTGCTCATTAACCCTGATCGGTCTTGACTGTTCTTTGGAGCAAATGGACACAGTGGTGTGATTAAAATGTTCAGTGTCACGCAATCAGCTTCTAAATTCAAATCTGCATTCCCTTGAGTGCTGACTGTTGTCATTTCAACACTTATTTACATTTCACACTTTGATATATGCGTTAGTACTAAGAAAACAACCATTTGTAGTTCATAAAATACAAGGATGTTTTCTGTAAAAAGGGCAAATTTATTTATTTTGATTTCTCTACATCCATACAGTATTCAAATTGTGTACATAATTAGAAAGTTTACATTGTGTGTAGGTGCTCTTTTTTTTCGTATCCGGGTCAGTTCACATTGGAATTCTGACATTTAAAAAAAAAATGAGTTTGAGAAAATAAATCTGATTTAAGCCTCGCAGTGCGAAACTATCCATTGAGACAGTGTTTTCCAGAATTCATCATTTTTATGCATTTCAAAAAATAATTGTATATTTCCGTCAGTAGTAAACAACTAAAAAATAAATAATTTGACACCACTTAATATTGAATAAAAGAGACAGAATCATACAGATGATCTATGGGGAAAAATATGAAATTGCAGGAAATATTCTTTTGTATTTTCTCACAAATCTATTGCTTTCTCCCAACATCATTTTTTATAAAACAGCTTCCCCAATGAAACTTAGCATTTACTTGCAGAGCGTGTTCTCTAGCAAAATTATTGAATTCCACTGAGAAACTTGGCAAAATAATTATGTTGTCTCATGAAACATTTTTGTTATTTTAAACTGTAATGATCCCTTGAGAAAAATTGCCCACAAACACTTGAATGTTTAAAAAAATTCACATTGTATTCTCTTGCAAAAAGATTATTTCCTTACAAAACTTAATGCTCAAATTACTGAATTATAGGTTTCCCTCCCACTTTTTCCATCACTAAATTAATGCTAGCAAACAAAATATTCTAAGAACGCAAAAGGATTGTAATGTTTTTCTATTTAGTTTTTTCTATTAATGTTTTTCTATTTTAGATCATCAGTGTCAAAGTAGTTAAAGAAATGGCATTTAATTTCCTTTAACTTGGCCAAGGATATCTACATAAATCTCAGCATATGTGAAAATTTACTATTTTTAATATGTAAAAATAGTTGCAATAGTTTTACTTTTGACTTGTGCCTCTGTAGCTCCTGAAGTTGACACTTTGTGGAGTGTTTAAATAGGTATTTGAGAGCTAAAACTGTTTTAAGCTTTCAGTGTTGTTTTGAGAGTATCACTTCATAAATTGATTGTTGTTGTCTAAAACAAGACAGTAGGATTTGATTAAACCGCTTTCAGTCTTATCATTAAAAGCATCGTTATCTCTGTACGTGATGGAGAGGTCAGCCTGTCTGAATAGATCTGCCCCACTTTGTCCTGACAATTTATGCTTTGAAATAAGCTGCTTAGCTGAGTGATGTTAAAATAATCTCTAGGCTTGTAATGTTAACTTTATAATGGAATGCTGCACTGAGAAGTCAGGAAAATAAAATGGATAGACCACAATTCCCTGTACTGTTTAATCAGTTTCGTTTTTTCAAAATTAGTTTGAAAGCATGCACAATTGTGGGTCAGGTTTTTTTTTTTTTTTTAAAGAGATAAATTATTATTTTCAACTTCACCAGTCGGTTATTTTTAACTTTTAAAATATTTTTCCCCCATCTTTTTAGATTTAATTACCATTTTCACATAGATAATTTTTTTTTATTTCAGTATCCTAGTTTTTGATTTCCCAACATCAAAACAATAAAAGTATAATACAGCTTTACAATATTTTTTCATTCATTAATATGTCTCCTGTTTAATTAAACTTTTTTCCCCCCGAGCAACAATATCTAACATTTTACAGGTAACACCAACCCAACAAAATGTCTGTTAGTCTAAAGGAGGTCGCTCACCGTATACGGCGTGCATAAAACAGTTGGAGGGTGCGCACTAGACTGGCACATTCGCATGTTATTTAAAATGAAACTATTCAAATGGCGCTCTGTGGCGCGGCAGAAATATGAACAATGTCCTGAGTCGTTTAGCATTTTAACCAACAGTAGAGCTAACCATTACAATTATTATTGTTGTTTTACCATATGTTTGAAAAATAAAAATAATAACAGCCCACTCATATTAACCTTTTATCCACAGAATTGAAAAAATCGAAATCTTGATTTAAGGCAACAAAAATCGCAACTCTTATTTTAGCCAGAATCGTGCAGCCCTAGTCTATAGATAGCCCCAAATCAGAAAAAGTTGTGACTATGGAAAGCGCAAAAAAAAAGAAAGTAGTGGTTTCTAAATAGGTACATTAACTTTTTTGAAATGTTGCAAGAACCAAAACAATAAAAATCATATATTTTGATAATGTGTGTTGTATTGTCTGCAATGAAATGCAAGTCAAAGTAAATTTAGAAATCATTACTTTTTTATTTGCATCTTCCATACTGTTCCAACTTCTTCTGATTTGGGGTTGTATGTATAAAACCACTGTAAATGTAAAATGAAAATGCAATGTCTAAAACTTCTCTTGTGTATTATAAGAATTTTGACTTTTTTTCTTGGCTCATCTGCCATCTTGGATATAAATATCTCACTGAGCTTGTCTTGGTGCATTAAACCTTTTCTCTAAAGGTTTCATGTGATGTTTGGCCAAAAAACAAAAAGACATAGTATTGTTACCAGGGCTGCACAATAAATATATAGTTTCAGCATCGATTTCTCAATGTTTGTGTGCACAATAGCCACATTGCATGGATATGCCATGTTAAATTGGGATTATAGTTGATTAGCAATTAAGAATAGGTGAGTCATTGCAACATATAACCAAAAGAGAGTGAAACTTTATCATTTGCATGTCTTTTTAAAGGCATTTCAAGAAAGTGTAAAGCATTCGGGCACAATAACATAAAATATTTGTAACTTTATTGAAGAGAAATTTAACAGATTTATTAATACAATGAATACAATGACTACTACACCGTGTTATTTTACATTACATTATCACATTTCTGTATCTCAATACTGATTGACTCTTTGGAAAACCATAAAGAACTATTTATTTTACTTTTTTCTTTGCTCTATTGTGAGGAAATTTTAATTGAATAATAATTTGATATTAATCTGACCAGTTAATCGTTAATATCCGATTAATGAGCGGCGGTTGTCTGTTAGCAAAATTAACCGAATGAGCATGCCTAATTGTCATGCTTTTGATTACAACAGTTTATTTCATATTTAGAAGAAGTGTCATCAGTAGTTTGTTAGCCAAAACAAAAGAGGAATTATATATTTTTTCTGATACCCAACCATAAATTTCAGAAATTTTAAATTTCATTATCTACAAAATCTTGATATCCTAGAGCACCAAAGTCTGCTAATATCTGGAACATGCAGATGGGGCCCTGAAGTAGGTGCGAAAACCCTGTGACAATGTGGAACATGTAAGCGAAAGTACTTTGAAGATATGGTTAGCTCACCAGACCTTAGCTTTGTTGTAAAGGTGTGTACACATCTTTTGCCTTTCTGCGCTAGAGACTCAGAAATTAGATGATCAGCTTTTGTCTCATTTGGATGAAAATTCTGGACATGTGTCATTTTTGACATTTTCTAGCCATTACTGTATTCAAACACACTCATGTGATTGTCTCTCCTAAGATGTAACAGTGTTGCCATTGTGAAATAAAGGGTTACTGGAATACTTAAAGCTGATTCGTCAATTATGACATTCCAAGGTATGTTTTTCTCAAAATAACAACCAATTAAACTAATACCACAGGCTCATTTGAGAACTAAGAGTCATCTTGACCGTAATGGCCCGTTTCCACTGAGTGCTACGGTACGGTACATTTCGGTTTGGTACTCTTTTATGGCCGTCTCCACTGTCAATAAGCGTACCGAACCAAACCATACCATACCGTACCACTTTTTTGGTACCAAAAACGAGAAAGGGTACCAAAAGGTGAAGTTACACGCGCAGCCGAACGCTGATTGGTTACAGAGATACATCATGAGCTCGTGGAGCTAGAAAGAATGTAAACAAAGGATCCGCCATGTTCTAATACACAGCCGAGAGATTACATGGATATACTATATGCATATAATAACGAGCCATGGATGATCCAAGCTCAAACCAACCTTGTCGTCGTCTTGATGAACAGAAACAAAGCCAAGAAGAAAAATCTGCCGTGTCCTGTTGTTGCTTTATGAGACCGTCTAAAAGTGCAAGCGGTATTTGCTTTCTTCCGGGAGCTCACGATCGCGTCTATATTTGATAAAACGAACTTCTTGAGCTGATGATAATAACGTCTGCATGATTAATGAAGTGTCTCTGTCATCTCATCCATTCAGAAAGAGAAGGACAAGCGCGAGAGTGAAGCACAAAAAAAAGAAAAGCCCGACACCTCCGTATCAAAATTGTTTTAGCAACCTAAATCATGAACAAACTGCCATGTTTATCTTCGCGTTTTGGATTATTATGAACAGGGAGTAACAAAATTACTCTCAAACAGAGCTTACATGTACTGGTGAAGATTACAGACATAGATGAGAGGTTTGCGCTCACTGTGGGCTATATTGTGTGGTTTTGAACTCAAAAAAGTACTAAATGTATGATGCGTGTAGTTTTTCTGTAATTAAAAATATATCGTAGACTGTAAGGGTCTGTATGTGTTCATATATGTTGCATTTATATATTTATTTAATATAATTGCATACGTTACAGTAGGCTATTTCTCACTGTCATTGATCTGCAGTTATAATCAAATCCTGTTCATAGAAAAGTTAGTAATAAACATTTATAAACAAGTATTTGTGTATAAAGCATCTGTTTTGTGAGAAGTGCTTTTCATATTATATGTAAGCGACCCGTACAGCTTTACTGTAGACATTTATTCGAGCGAGCATGACATCGACTTTAACTTTGTCATAAACCACGCCCAATGAAAGGGTACCCTTGGTAGAGGAAGCCTGATAAAGGTGACCCAAACTGACCCTTACCGTATTGTACTAGTCAGTGGAAACGAGCCATAAATGGCCATTGGTGAATACATTCACATATGATTAATACTTTTTGACTGTTTATCTTGCAACCGAATTACAATAATAACAAATAGGTTAGTGTAGGGTGCATCCAGCTGTTTAAGAACATGTATTTCTTTCTATGAGCTTTGTTAAAATTAAATATTGTACATCCAGATGGCAGAATAAAGCATTTTAGTCTTATACAATAATTATTTAACTGTAGTGTACTTAACGCAGGACTTTATGACTCGCATACCGTTTAAACCAATGCACTAATTCAGTGGATAACCAATCATCCGTTTGTTTGAGTGTAAAATAATCGTTCACTTTTTGTTTGACATTGGCACACAGTGATAAGTTTGAGATGTGTATGCCAAGAGGTCTTTTAGTGAGATTTATAAATAGAACCTTCATTGTAAATAATTTCCTTATTATAATAGGCTGTTTTAGTTTGCCCTTTGTGATCAAAGTTGAACTGTACTGAACTTAAGTCTTTATCAGTACCTCTGCTTTGTTAGACCATGGTTCCACCTGTTATTAACATGTTTTGCCCTATTTACACCTATACTGAATGTTATCCACTTGGGATCACACTTCTGATTAAAGTTCGTCTTAGTAGGAGGGGTAAAACGACCCTTAATTGCATGTTACTTAGGATTATGTGTCTTGTCTTTGTTTCTTGCATGTGTTTACATAGTAAATATAGAAAAACATAGAAGAAAGAAAAAAAAATGTTGTTTACTGTTCAGTAGACGACTTCCGGTGCATTCCTAGTTTACTGAAATATTAGACTTGTAAGTATGCCATTCTTTCCTATGGTGAGCCACATAACTGATCTCTCCTCTCTCTCACATCACAGTTTTTCCAGAGGACGCAGATGCAAACGGCCCGGCCCACCATTCCAAGCAACACCCCACCCATTCGGCCCACGTCTCAGACCCCCACGGCAGCAGTATATTCTCCCAATCAGCACATCATGATGACCATGGCTCACATGCCCTTTCATTCCCCACAGACAGCGCAGTACTACATCCCTCAGGTCAGACATTACAAGATTGTAGACAGGAATCACATTACATGTACTATATCTAGACTGTGTGTTTACACCAGGTTATTTTAATGTGCTAGACTGTGTTCGTTTCTGTTGTTTGTGTAAACACTTGACTTCAGATTGTCTGGGTAATTTAATATATATATATATATAGCCCCCCTGTGTATTTTTCCCAAATCTCTATTTAATAGAAAGAAAATTTTTTTAAACGCGTTTCTTAACGTAATAGTTTTAATAACTGATTCCTTTTATTTTTGCCATGATGACAGTACATAATATTTTACAAGATTCCAGTATTCACCTTAAAGTGCCATAAAGGCTTAACTAGGTTAATTAGAAGTTAGGGTAATAGGCAAATCATTGTATAATGATGGTTTGTACTGTAGAAAAAAAAAACATCTTGCTTAGGGGTTCTAATAATATTGACCTTAAAATGGTCCTTAATGGACTTTAAAAGATTATAAGCTGTTTTATTCTAGCTGGAATAAAACGCCTAAGACTAAATGTAAAAGAAAAAAATATTGTAGGAAATACTGAATATATTAACGTATGTTAATTTTGTGTTTTTTTTTTTTGTTTTTTTTTAGTATCGTCACAGTGCTCCACAGTATGTGGGACCTCCTCAACAGTACCCTGTCCAGCCGACTGGACCCAGTACCTTCTATGCTGCAGCCAGTCCAGGGGAGTTTCCTGCACCTTATGGTGAGTTTAGCACTCTCATTGTTTCTCATTTGTTTGTTTGTTTGTTTAAAACAATATACACCTTTTCAGCTGCTTGTTACTGCAAGTATCTAATCTGCCTTTTAGACTTGGTGAAATACGGTGCATCCGGAAAGTATTCATAGCGCTTTTCTTTTTACTTATTTTTAAATTTTATAGCCTTATTACAAAATGAATTACTTTTTATTTATTTTCTCAAAATTCTATGCGCAAAACCCCATGATGACAATTTAAAATTAAAAAATTTAAATTGTTGCAAATTTTTGAAAAATAAAAAACCTGAAAAATCCCATGTACATAAGTATTTACATTTGCCAAAACACTCTAATTGAGCTCAGGTACATTCTGTTTCCACTGATCATTCTTGTGATGTTTTAGCAGCTTAATTGGAGTTCACCTGTGGTAAATTCAGTTGATTGGACATGATTTGAAAACGTATACACCTGTCTATATAAGGTCCCAGGGCTGACAGTGCATGTCAATCATAAACTAAGCATGAAGACAAAGGAATTGTCTGTGGAATTCTGAGACAGGATAGTCTTGAGGCACAAGGCTGGGGAAGGTTACAGAAATATTTCTGCTGCTCTGAAAGTTCCAATGAGCACAGTGGCCTCCATCATGGTGGCCTCCAAGTAGAAGATGTTTGGAACCACCAGGACTCTTCCTATAGCTGACCAGCCATCTAAGCTGCGTGATCAGGGGAGAAGGGCCTTGGTCAAGAAGGTGATCATTAACTTGATGGTCACTCTGTCTGAGCTCCAGTGTTTTTCTTTGGAGAGAGGAGAACCTTACAGAAGGACATCCATCTGTGCAGCAATCCACCAATCAGGACTGTAGTGCCAGACGGAAGCCACTCCCCACCTGGAATTTCCGAAAAGGAATCTGAAGGACTCTCAGACCATAAGAAACAAAATTCTCTGGTCTGATGAGACTAAAATTGAGCTCTTTCGAGTGAATGACTGGCAATACGTTTGGGGAAAACCAGGCACCGCTCATCACCAGGCTAATACCATCCCTACAGTGAAGGATGGTGGTGGCAGCATCATGCTGTGGGTTGTTTTTTAGCAGCAGGAACTGGAAGACTAGTCAGGATAGAGGGAAAGATGAATGCAGCAATGTTCAGAGACATCCTGAATGAAAACATGCTTCAGAGTGCTCTTGACCTCAGACTGGGGCAACAGTTCATCTTCCAGCAGGACAAGGACCCAAAGCACACCGCCAAAATATTGCTAGAGTGGCTTCACAACAACTCAGTGAATGTCCTTAAGTGCTCCAGGCACAGCCCAGACCTAAATCCTGTTGAATGTCTCTGGAGATGGTTGTACACTATCGTTTTACATTCAACCCAATAGAGCTTAAGAGGTACTGCAATTTTTCAAATTCCCAAAGACAGGTGTGCCAAGCTTGTGGCATCATATTCAAAAAGAATTGAGGCTATAAATGCTGCCAAAGGTGCATCAACAAAGTATTGAGCAAAGGCTGTGAATGCTTCTATACATGTGATTTTCAGGTTTTTATTTTTTTTTTATCAATTTACAACAATTAAAAAAAAAAATTCACATTGTCATCATGGGGTATTATGTGTAGAATTTTGAGGAAATAAATTAATTTAATCTATTTTAGAATAAGGCTGTTACATAAAAAATGTGGAAAAAGTAAAGCACTGTGAATACGTTCCAGATACATTGTAGTTATGTTGATGGTTTTACTGGTGTAAAGTTGATTTGAACACTTGTCTACAATGTCACCAACATCACTGTCATTTTAGGGTTTTGTATAGTATTAAAAACCATTTTGTTCTATTAAAGAAAAAAGCACTACTAATGAGGTGCTGGATCCAGTGTGTTCCGGCACAACTTAAGCCCTGAGTGCAAGTAAACTAGCACTTACAGATGACTACTAGTAAACTAGTAGTCATTGTCTTATAAACTAGTAGTCATTGAGTGGCTACGCCTCGTCAATCAGTGAAAAACCAATTGCATTTTACCACTTGCCATATTCATTCCATTGAAAAAAAATTGACCACCACGTCCTATGTAAAACCACCATGTTAAGAATAGCTAGAGAGTGGCAGAGAAAGAAGCTCTCATCTTTGGCAAGAGAGAGTAATCAGCGTTGGCTGTAAGAGAAGGTAGGCTTATAAAAACATTTAAAGTTTGTTATAGTTCTGTTTTGTTGTTGCTGATAATATCAGTTGATGCTCAATTGTCGCTAATTAGAAAGTAAAAGAAGTGAAATAGCACACTGAACTTGTAAGTTATTTAAAAGCACCCTTTCCCTAGTGATCCTGGTATAAGCGGTGTTATCACTCGTCAGTTAAGCAGTGGGAAAATTACATTGCTGTCACAACCCTAAAACTAATCACATGCCAATGTTCATTTAAGACCCTGTTCATTTAAGCATGTAGATGTGGTTAAGATAATCTGTCAACGTTCAAGCAGAGCATCAGAATGAGAAAGATGATTTAAGAGAAATTGTCAGGGGTTTTAGTGCCAGGCAGGCTGCAGAAACTGTAGGTCTACAGGGTTTTCATGCACAGGTCAGGTGTGAGTGATTGGTTCAAGCTTATAGAAAAAAAAGTTATTTTTATATACTTGGAGGAATAGTTCACTCAAAGAGCAAGAATTGTCATCATTTACTTTAATACGGAATTTTTCTTGTATGTTTTATGAGCAGCAGGACCTCCCTACTATCCTGGGCAGCCCGTGTACACACCATCTCCACCCATTATAGTGCCTACACCACAACAACCTCCACCTGCTAAGAGGGAAAAGAAAACAGTGAGTCTACATTAACTTATTGTTCTGCATCGTCTTTTGCCACAGAGTTTACATTTTGATTTGTTTTCAGTTTTTACACATTGAAATACAGCCTTTTACATTTCTGGCTTTAACAAACACTGAGAATGTTTTATTTAAGCTTTTGGTTTATCCTTTGTCTGCTTTTTCGATTAATTTATTTTTATTTTCAAAGATCCGCATCCGAGACCCTAACCAGGGTGGCAAGGATGTCACAGACGAAATATTATCAGGAGTGGGTTTGAGTCGAAACCCAACCCCGCCTGTGGGACGGCCCTCTTCCACTCCTACACCTCCACAGGTAAGATGGCAAATCAAAGATCGAATCACACACTAAAACCAAAGTTAAGTCATTGTTAAAAGATTTTGGTTCAAACACCATTGTAATCTTAATTCTAAATGATCACAATTAGCATGTTTATTCAAGAGAGCCGGCCTCTTGTATGGTTAAACATCTTTAACTAGCATTTCTTTTTTCTGAGTTATAAGCATTGAAATTGTGACAGAAGTGCTGAGATAACTTATAGTTTTGTTGTAAACATATGTCTGTTTTCAAAATAATTGTTTGAAGGCAGCTTAATTCAAATGAAGGCATTAACAATAACATTGTTTAATTAATGACTTGAAATTCAATAGATTCATGATAAATGCTGATCCATCTAGTACACGTGAAGTCTTTAAGAGTGAGTTATTGAATGATTCTTTCAAATTCATTTGAGATTTTTTTTTATTTTTATGAAGGAATATTTTTCTCAAATTTTAGTAAATTATTAGAATCTAGTAACATCTATCTATCTATCTATCTATCTATCTATCTATCTATCTATCTATCTATCTATCTATCTATCTATCTATCTATCTATCTATCTATCTATCTATCTATCTATCTATCTATCTATCTATCTATCTATCTATCTATCTATCTATCTATCTATCTATCTATCCATTTATCCATCCATATATACTCCATATATATATATATATATTAATTATCCCAAAACTGAAAATGATGTCATGATTTACTCACCCTTTACTAATCTGTTTTTCTCTCTTTTTTTTTCTGTTGAACATAAAATTAAATATTTTGAGATTAGAAAGCTTGGAACCTCTAACTTCACTTCCATAGTAATTGTTTTTCATACTATGCAAGTCAGTGGTTACTGGTTTTCAGCTTTCTTCAAAATACCTTTTATGTTCAACAGAAAAAAGAAATTCATAAATGTTTGTATCCACTTAAGGGTGGGTAAATAATGAGGGAATGTTCATTTTTTTGGGTGAACTATCCCTTTGAGATGTCTATTCAGAATTGTGTTAGAATATTCAGCTCTATTATTTTAAACAAAAATTGCAAATTCTGAATTGATTCTCATTTAGAATTCTGCAGCTCTTAACAGTGTACACATGTATATTTAGTTTGATATAGTTTTTTTTTCCAGTATTTTGCACCTTGTTTGTGGGTTATTTTCAGTATTTTGCACCTTGTTTGTGGTTAAAGTTAATAATATTAATACTTTTGTATGTATGTATATATTTATTTATATTTATTGATTTTTTTTTTTACCAGAGCCAGTTGGAAACCAACCAGAACACACTAATATACATATAGTCTTTATATCATAGCAGCCCCACTTATTGACTTTAAAGCCACACTGCCAGAGTTTCCATTCCTTCATAATCAGGAGTTTATCTTCTTATCTAAAGCCAAAGCTTATGTCCTCAGGTCAGCGCCTTTGCTCAGTGGTTATTACTTAACAATTTGATCTTTTATGCAGTGTAATGCACTTTTAACGAACAGCGAACAAAGCAACTGTGTATTTTAGGGTTTTTGAAAAATGTTGCATATCATGTCAGCTGTCTTGTAGTACTTTCTCATGAGTGTTTGTGTCATCCTGATCCCTGTGTGTTACCTTTACAGTGACTCCTCATCTACACTCTCTAGTAGACTATTACTCACCTTCAGTGTGCCTGATGTAAAACAGGGGTTTCCAAACTGCTGGATATTAAGTGTGTAAATTAAGTTTACACACAATACAGCTTTGGTAAATTAAACTTGGTTGAAACCAAATTGTAATAAAACAACAATTAAATATTAGAATATTAGAATTTGCAATAAAGTAACATTTACTTTCAGAAACTAAACAATGTATTTATATAAACACACACACACACACACACACACACACACACACACACACACACACACACACACACACACACACACACACACACACACACACACACACACACACACACACACACTACAGATGGGGTTTACAGTCACCGGCTACTTTATAAGGTACTCCTTACTAGTACTGGGTTGGACCCCCTTTTGCCTTTAAAACTGTCCTTATCCTTTGTGGCATAGATTCAACAAGGTACTGGAAATATTCTTCAGAGATTTTGGTCCATATTGACTTGATAGCATCACGCAGTTGCTGCAGCCTTGTCGGCTGCATATCCATGATGCAAATTGCCCGCTCCACCACATCCCAGAGATTGAGATTGGTGACTGTGGAGGCAATTTGAGTGCCGTGAACTCATTTTCATGTTCAAGAAACCAGTCTGAGATGATTCGTGCTTAATGACATGGAGCGTTATCCTGCTGGAAAAGACATAAACAGATGGGTATACTGTGGTCATAAAGGAATGGTCATGGTCAGCAACAATACTGTGGCGTTGACGCGATTCTCAATTAGTATCAATGGGCCTCAAATGTGGCAAGAAAATGTCCCCCACACCATTACACCACCATCATCGCCTAAACCGTTAATAAAAGGCAGGAGGTATCCATGCTTTAATGTTGTTGATGCCAAATTCTGACCCTACCATCTGAATGTTGCAGCAGAAATTGAGACTCATCAGACCAGGCAACGTTTTTCCAATCTTCTATTGTCCAATTTTGGTGAGACTGTGTGAATTGTAGCCTCAGTTTCCTGTTTACATTAGTGGCACCCGGTGTGGTCTTCTGCCGCTGTAGCCCATACCTCTCAAGGTTTGAAGTATTGTGCGTTCAGAGATGCTCCTCTGCATACTTCATTTGTATCGAGTTTATTTGAGTTACTGTTGCCTTTCTATGAGATCTAGCAGATCGTCTTGACCATGTCTACATGGCTAGTTGCTGCCATATGATTGGCTGATTAGAAATTTGTGTTAAACAGTTTGACAGTTTACAAAATAAAGTGGCTGGTGAGTGTATATTATAGTTTGTGGGTCAAAATTGGTGGGGTTTAGCATAAAATAAGATTTATGACTTGGTTCAGAAAGTGCTGGGTGAAAAGCCTAACAAGTAATGTAAACATGTAAAAGTAAAAAAAAAAATTATTTATAAAAATAAAAAATTAAGAAAACTACATGATACAACTTTTTATTAGAATAAATAACTAAATATAGAATGCAAAATAAAATGAAATGTAGTTGTAAATTGGCACAAATTTTAGGTAAAATAAAAATAAATTCATAAAAGTTCATTTGATTAATACAAATGAATACAAAATGTAAACAAAAAATGTACAATGTAGAATTTTACAAAAATGTGATCAAAATAAATAAATTGGTTATTAAATGATTAAAGTTTTATACAAGAAACCATACAGATGCCTTATTTATTTTAGGATGGGGTGTCTGGCATTTTGAAAACCCCTCATCAAAGGCACTGTCTCTATATAGAAGGTTGTGCTCACTATATTTTGACACTTCCTCTGTCTTCTCTCCTTGAATGTTAACAGTGTTCGTCTCTCCTTTGCTCTCTTTCCCCTTTTCCCTTCCCATGTTTTGTCCATTTCTGCCCCTTCTCTCCTGTCCATTTTCTACGTTTCTGTTTTCCCCTGCTCTGTCTTTGTCTGCATGTGTGTGCGCGTGCCTTGTGTCTATATGTTGCTAGTTTTTATGTCCACACCCTCATTATCCTCACATTTTCTACCTCAAATCCCAGCAGCTGAACAGCCAGGTAGCAGATCATGGGCACATCATGTATAATGTGGACAGCAGCCCGCACCTTCCAGCATCCTTCAACTTGAAAGCAGGTAAGGCTTTGCTACAGTTGTCACCTTCTATCCACAGGTTCAGAGTAAGGGTTTTCAACTGGTGCTTCTACACCCAACAATGAATGGGTCATGGGTCTGAGAGTCGTAGGCAACAATAGAAAAAATGTGCATGCCTATAATAAAACCACATTTTATGTCTTTAAGCAATTCTAGACTTTTTTGGGAAATGGGTTTGATTTATTTTTTACTGAGTTAAAAATTGAGTTTTGCCAATTTTGGTTTAACTAATCAGCTGATCTCCAGTTTAGATTTGTCAGCATCAGCCTAAAAATGATGATTTTGATTTTTTTTTTTTTACATACCTATATAAAACCATATGTAAGCCATGTGTGTTGGTGTGAAGGAATTCTCCACTTCTTAAAATTTAATTTAATGTTCTTTTATTAATGTAAAATTGGCGCATTTTACAGTTCTGCTGTAGTTAATGGTTGAGTTTTACTTTTTTTCTTAATCCACTCAGCCAATATCCAGGTCTTACAATAAAACTTAGCTTAGCATAAACCATTGAATCAGATTAGACCATTAGCATCATCCCTGTATATACTATAAAAAATCAGAAAATATTAAGTAAAAAGAGCAGTTTATTTAAAACCTATTCAAAATAAAACATTTTTGAATATTAAAACATTTGAATACTAAATACTAAATCTTTTTTTTTTTTTTGAAGTATTCCATAAAATATTTCAGATTTTCATTTCAACATTTTTTGTACAAAAAAGCCAAACATTTTTTAAATGACATAACAGTCAATAACAGCAAAAACATGGTCAACCTTTTGGTAGAGGGGCAGTCAATGGATTAAAGGAATTCTATATTTTTGGGTGGGAAAATAGGCTTATTTTACATCTCTGCTAAAGTTAGCACATGAGTTTTACCATTTTCTTAATCCATTCAGCCGATCTTCTGGTCTGATTTTTGATGATGCTCTGCATTAATCATTGAATCGTATTAAATCATTATCATCATTCTCAAAAATGGCCAAACAGATTTGATTAATACATTGCACATACCTATAATAAAACCATATGTAAATCATATGCAATGCCTCTATTCTTTTGTTAATATGCTCATTTTACAACTCCACCAGAGTTAACAATTGACTTTTGCCATGTTTTAATCCATACAGCTGATCACCGGGTATGACTTGATGATGATGCTTAGCCTAGCTTGGCATAGATCAGTGAATCAAATTAGACAATTAACATCACCCTCAAAAATGACCAAACAGATTTAATTAAAATATTGTACAAGCCTTTACCTTATGTAATGTCTTGGAATTCTACACTTTTTTTTAGAAGTAGGCTCATTTTACATCTCCGCTAGAGTTAACAATGAGTTTTGACATTTTTTTTTATTTATTCAGCCGATCTCCGGGTCTGACTTGTGATGATGCTTAGCTTAGCATAAATTATTGAATCGGATTACACCACTAGCATCACCCTCAAAAATGACCAAAGATGTTTGATATTTTTACTATTTAAAGCTCGACTTATCTGTAGTTTCATTAAGCACTAAAATTGACAAAAAAAAAAGATATGTATAGCAACTATATTCTCATTTCATCGCAGTAATTTTGCTCTTGTACCATGGCTGCAGCAAGTGCAATATATGATGCAGTACCTGATATTTGTCTAGCTACCGTCAGTATAACCAACCTTTATGATTTTTAGTAAATATGTCCCATTTCTCCTGTTAAAGGCTGTATTGTTTTTTGCTTTCATGATTTGAGAGAAGCTTACCAAGGTTTGTGTGTCTTCCTTTGTTTTTAAAATCCTGAATAGAATTAGGTTTAATTTTCGCAATTGATGGCCAGCTTAAATTTTGGATCCTGAAGCAAAACCAGTTGAAAACCATTGATCTGTTGTTCAGCCTCTTATTCATTTTAGTAATGGTCACAAAAAAATCATAAATGCACCTATATTAAACACATGGAATTTTAAAATTCATTGATTCTTTTTATATAGCTAACAAAATGTTAATTAAACATTTATTTTTAAATGTAATATTTTAGTTTTGTAATAATTTAATCACAGTGAAGAAAATAAATGAACATACATTGTACATGGTATTTATTATTTAATCCCTAGATGTAATAACAGTTATTTTATTTGTACTAAATTAACATAACTGTAAGCTCAGCCCTTTCATGAAGATGCCTTAATGTTAAATGCTGACAAGATGGAGTAGAAAGTGTTTCTAAAGTCACTGTCCTCTAATAGAGCTGTTTTTAACTGTCACAAGACAAATCTACAATTGCAGCTTCAAAAAAAAAAAAAAAAAAAAAACCAATATCATTTTATTTTTTACCATCAATGTGATCTGATATCTGTTATGTATTATCAGTAAATGAGCCTGCAGTATATTAAACAGTATATTAAACTGAATTCAGTCGTCTGTGAGCAGAGGAACTAAATTGGAAAAGCACTGATGGGGAGTTGTATTGGAAAGCCACAAATAGAAATACATTTATCAAAAGCCACAAACAGAAAAAGACTAAAGTTGCATGTTCACGTAGGCCATTCTCAAGTGCTCGGTGTATGAACGAGGGATATTATAACAGGACATAAAGACGCATCCAATTTTCTGATATGGTACATAATTGTCACAATGTTTTGAATATGTATGCAGGAGTTTTCAGGTATAGTTTCCCAAAGTGTGAATAGTTTGTATTGAAAGTTGTGTGTAAAAGCCTTAAAACCTTAAAAAAGGTAAATGTATTAACCTTAAGAGTTGCATTTTTTTCTGAACACAAAAATGTATTTTGAATGTTGGATGTTCTTATTGGCATCTAGGAAATTGTATTATTAAAGTAATGACTCTTTGTGATTTGCACAATGCCACTGCCTGCAGTTATAAAGTAGACTAATTACCTCAGACAAATGAGAAAACCCAAACACTATGACCAATTTTTCCTACCTCCGTAAATAAGTCTTATTAAATAAAACTTCCTCGATGGTGGAAAAATCTTCCCAATCCCACCTGGACGGCTAATTCTTTTGTATCATTCAAATGGCAACTAAAACTGTCTTCTGTAAGCATTTTAAATATGAATAAATGAAAATAAATCCCCTCCTCATCTTTACTTTAGCTCTCTAAGTATTAGTTTATTTCTATAAATTATAAATAAATGTTATTACAGTAGAAATTCCTGTGTGCATTACCTCTTCATGTTGAATTCGTAAGTCTCTTTAAACAAAGTATAAATCTGGCTTCTAAGGTTTGTCAGTCATGCTGGAGAAAGCAGTACACCTCATGTTTTCTCCACGTTTTATATGCGACATGTGAACAACTCATAAGGACAAATGTTAAGTTATATAAAATATACAAGCATATAAAATGTGCAGTGATGGCTCGTGAGGACCGGGATTGAGAAATTCTGATTTAGGTGACACTTCAGACTCAAAAGTACTTTATTTGTCAGTAAGAATAAAGAATATGCCACATTTATAGAAGTTTGTGAAGTGTACGTCTGATACATTTTCTTGTTTAATTTCCACCTCTAGACGATAAGCCAAAACTAGAGTTTTCCTTGCAAAGAACTGCATCTCCTGGTCTGCGGCAGCCCGACACTCCTCTGGAGAGAAGAGATCCCAGCAGCCCAGTCCAAACACCCTCCTCTCCCCCACACAAACCTGAGCTTCCCCCCTCCGACTCAGAGACGGCCTCAAGTGTAGCTACAGCCCCGACTCCTTCCATACCTGCCTCAACAGAAGAGTCAGCTGATGCCCCGAGCCCATTAGCTGAGCCCAGTCTCACTAAAGCTATCACACCTGAACCAGAGAGCTCTGAGCCAGAGAAATCCTCCTCACCACCACCTCAAAGTCTGTCTGGATCCCTTACCCAGCACGAAAAAGCCGTCAATGGGCTCACGGATGTTGACGCTGCTCCACTGAGTGAAGAATTGGAAACCCAACCCAGGGAAGCCTCTCCATTGCTGCCTACTTCCAGTGTGCCCCAGTCAGAGCCCAGGCCAGTCACACCGGTGCTGGAGGAAGAGTCTGATCCAATCAATATGAACAGTCCTTTGCCTCCTGTTGAGGACGATGCTGGATGTCCTGACAACGTTTCCCCCTCCCTCTCCACCTCCACGACTGCTGCTATCTCCACCACTCCTCCTGCTCCTCCTCCAGGACTCTCGCACCCCAGTCAGGTTTCTGCAGCGTTGGACAGGAGACCCTCTAATGGAGCAGAGATCAAAGAAACAGGGAAGGAAAACGAGGCCTTGCCGGACAAGAGAGGAGAGCCTTTCTTACAGTCCAGAAAAAGCTCAAATCAAGGTAAGCGCTTTAAATGTTTGCAGGTCGTTAGATGAATGGTGCAAGTGTTGTTCAAATAACACAATAATGTGTTTTACAGCTACATCTAGTGCACCAAAGACCTGGAAGAAGCCAAAAGAGGACATGCCTGTAGGGCAAGATCAGTGTCCAGACAAAGAGGTAAAACAAACAAACAAATGCAAACGTGCAGAATTTGCTGAATTACAGACTTTTTTTTGTTGCTGCATTGAGGGCGTCATAGTGACCTAGGGCCTTATGTAAGAAGACTTGCGTTGAATTAATACTAAAACATTACATGCGGACAAAGCTGTAAATGTGCATGCGCAGTGAAAAAATCAGATGTATAAAATGCTGCGTATGTGGAATCCCAGGCATATTCTCTTTGTACATCCGAATTAACGTGAAACTGAGCGCACATGCTCGAGCGCAAAACCCCTCCCTGCCTCCGTCCCCGTATGAATATGGTTATGACTCCACTTTGGCAAAACCAAACGAAAAAGCAATGTCAAAATCAAGCAAAAAGAGAAACTTCACAGAATGTGAAATGGAGGTGCTCCTATTGGAGGTAGACCGGAGAAAAATGTTGTCATTTGCTAGTTTGTCATCCGGAATTCTGAACATCGCACTGTGAGCAAACTAAAAAAGAAATGATTCGATGTAAAGGTGTACAATTTTGTAGTGTCTATTTAGGCTAAGTGGATATAGCACACCTCGTTGGAATGAGCTAGTTGAGTGATTCCCGCCCATCACCGTTTGATTGACAGGGACAACATGACTAAAGTGAGCAGCAGTGGCATAGCTCGTAAAGCTCATGGCAACATGTTTTGACACAATCAATCATGAACACGGTTCGAAGAAATCAATAATAAGTGTGTGTAATATGTTAAGCGCACTTGAGCATCACATATTATTTGCACATTTATTGAATGGAAATGTTTCTGATTCTCGTATTCAAATTTGTCTGCAGATGGCGCCTTTATAGCAATGTGCGTGCAGTCGATTGCTCCGATTACATTGAGAAAACTGGCGATTGCTGCAAATTGAGCTTTAATGTTTGGCTGGTCAACTGCATGGTATGGAAACCTTATATACCTGCTAGACATGCAGATGATCCCGTACCATACAGGTGGCATTGCACAGCACAAAGATGCTTTGTAGTGTGCAATTTAACATGATTGCCTCTAGGAGTCGCCAATGGAAATAAAACAAACACACACAAGAAATGCACATTCGCCATTTGTGCGTATGCAGCGTTGATACATGAGGTCCCAGGGCCTTCTGGTAGGTTGCTTAGAACTTTCGTTAAGAATTTTCATCAGCCAGAGCAGCATTTCTCAGCTGCGTGTCAATACTGTTGAGTGGCTTAAGGAGTGTTTTTGTGATGCAAAACTTTAATTTTGAAAGAAAGACGTGTGTTAAAGCTTCTATCTAATGTGGTACAAGTGCGACCGAAAAATACTCTCCTAATTCAGTGTCTGCTATCAGATCAGACGCTGAAATACAGCGTCAGTGTTCCCGACCTGTCAGCTGTTATACTGTACTCAGCGGCTCTTCAATGTACACTCACACACACACAGACACACACACACACACACACACACACACACACACACACACACACACACACACACAATACCTCACTGCATTTTAAAGAACAAACCATATTACTGGCATGAAACAAGCTGCAAGCCATGCAGTTTCCAAAAATCACCGATAAAAGTGTTACTGGTACTTTGCTAGCTGATTTGCATGTTGATTTTAATTGGAAGACGATTTATCTTTTAAATGAAACGAAATGTTTCATTTAGTTGGTTTCATTTATGTGTAGTTTTTACCACGGAATGTGTTTTTCTGTCAAAATGCCACTTTATTGACACTTATTCAATCAATGTGTTAGTGGGACAGTACAGGCTATGGGTGTGCCAAACATTTTGGTCAATTACATTTGTTTGGGCTGGTTATATATTTGAAAGAGAGAGAAAAAAGATCACTTTAGCAATGATGAGGCTCCATTTAAATGGCACAATATGCCGTCTGACAACGAGGGAAAAATGCTTTGCAGCAATTGTTTTCCATCCTGTTAGATTGCATTTTTTAAAATAACCAGTCCAGGAGGTGACGCTGATCGATAACAGTATTAGTTCAAAGAGTTAAAAGCAAGTAAAATAGATAATGTGACTCTTTATACGCATCAGCTGCCAACTAGAAGTCGTGGCGTGTTCGTGAGATAACTTTAACTCTCCTCTCGGCTCTGTCTGTAGTGCGAGTTTTCTCCACCGTGTCTATTACTGATTACCTTTAATGACCACACATTATGCTCATATACACTGTAACCGTGGATGTACTTTCCATGTCACTTATCAGTGAACAGTGCTGGAGCATCAAAGCCAATCGCAGCCCTTTCTCTTGAGTAGGTGAAGACAATGACCAATCATAGGAGTGTAAGAACTCGCTTGACATTAGTTTATTTGCTTTAAATATTCATGTTGTCTTGTTTGCATGTATTTGAGTTTTGTTTAAAACATTCAAAAAGATAAAATTAAAGGTACAATTAATTTATCTAACTGCTCGTATTGAAGGCTAAAATTGTATTACAAATAATAGATAAATAGAAATGTATTTATAGATTTTAAAACCTTTTTTTCGTGTGATGTGAAGTAAAAAATAAATTTGTGTATGTAAAGCATTGTCAATGCACTGTCATGCACAGTGATATCGAATTGAACTTAATCGATAGCATAATCATAACCGAACCATGAGACCAGTGTAGGTTCACACTCCTAATATATACACATACTTGCATAGGGACACACATAGTGTTGGGTAGTAGCTATTTGATTGTACTATATTTTAAAATTCCCATAATCAATTACAAAATATTCACACAATGACAGTAACATCAACATGTGCAGCTTTGTAGTATTTAAGATGTTTGATTTGACAAACTCTGTTTCTTTCATTAGGTCTGGTCTAATGTGAGCTTAAAGTGTGTTTGTGTGTTTTGCAGGAGGACACTGATCAGGCCAGTATGGAACCTGCTCCTGAAAGCCCCAGTCCTCCTCCTGTGGAGGTGGAGAGGAGGCCATCAGTAGGAGCAGTGCTCGAGGAGAATGGAGAACAGGAAGTGGAGCCTTTGAGAAACGGTGCTGAACACACTTCTGAAACTGAGAGCAGTGACAGCATCCACCCGCCTGCAGTCAAAGAGCCGTTGATCAAAGTATTGCCACGTAAGGCTAACTCTCTACAACATTCTCTAGTTTCCTTCGCCTACATCTGCCAGGTTTTACCACTAAAAGCATTTCTGCTCTTCTGCAGAGCCTGCAGAGAAGAATGGAAAGAAGCAGTACAACAGAGACTTCCTGCTGGGCTTCCAGTTTATGCCTGCATGTGTGCAGAAACCAGAAGGGCTTCCTCCCATTTCTGATGTTGTTCTAGATAAGGTCAGCCAGTGATATAATAGATATTAATTATAAAAAGTTCATTCTACAGCATCTAGTTCATATTAATGAACCCCTCAAAGTGATATTCTTGGTTCATGTGTCATGGTTTTCAGAGTAAATGAAAGATATAATGAAAATTTCTCTCTTGTACCAGAATTAATTTGTGTCGCACCATTAAATGGACTGCTATGGACAGAAAAGGATATTGTAACCTGATTATGTCCCTCTTTTAAGTTCTTGTAAAACTCATTACTGCTCTTGTACAGAGTGGAAAGATGTTCTTAAGGAGAAGCCTAATGTGTTTCTGCCTCACTGAACAGATTAACCAAAATAAGCTGCCCATGCGGCCGGTAGACCCACGTGTGCTTTCCAGAGGCCCGGACTTTACGCCAGCGTTTGCGGATTTCAGCCGACCCATTTCAGGAGGCAGAGGGGCACCGGTTTGTCATGTTATTTTCAATTATTCACTTTATTTTATTTCAGATTTTCATCAACAAATAAAAGCATTTTCAGTTCACACTACCTTAGTCAAAATATACTTATCATTTTTGTATTATATTCTAAATTCAATGCTGTGCTTGATAAGGTTTCAAAAGTGTCGACTGTGGTACCAATCAATACTGACATTTTAAATTGTCCAACATTTGAGCGCAGTTAAGCACATTCTTAAAAAATGCTAATATGCCATTCTGGACTTTTTCGTCTATGAGCAGAGATATGTGCCATCTGCTTATAGATGCTCAAATGTCCTTGTATCTGTGTTTGTACTTGATAAACAGCCGTAGATTGGTGTTTAAGAAGGTGCTCAACAGTTTTTAAAATTTCACTATTAAATGGTACCGAAGTCGATCCTTTTTATAGATGGAAAAGTAATGTATAAAGGAGCTAAATTAGATGTTTAAAAAAAGAAGCATATTTTCAGATATTTTACTGTAGTTGCCATATTAGAATCTTTGCCTGCGTTACATGATTGTGTCTGATCCTTCAGTTGCTGAATGTTGGCATGCGACGGCCACCTGGACGCAAGATCATCACAAACGTGTCTGTGATTGATGAGGTGCAGCTGAAGACAACAGAGAATGCCTGGAAGCCTGGCATGAAGCGGGAAGGTGCAGTTGAAGATCCAGATGCCCAGAGAACTCAGGTCTAATTGCACTTTAATACTTTGATAAAAAAATAATCAAACGTTTTATTGTTGATGCATTGATATCAACGTCATACGTTGGTTAGTCTAGGCTTGTCATGGATAAAGAAATGTGACACAGCCAGTAGGAGGCAATAAGTCCTTGTCCTAGGGATAGTTCCCACAAAAAAGAAAATTCTGTCATTATTCAATAGAAATCGAAGCCAAAAATGCTTTGTAATAGTTTTATTGATACATTTTATTACATTAAAATAACGTTATTTTGTAAGACTTGAAATTATTTATAATAACTAAATGTATAATAAAAAAAAAAGTTTTTCTTGTTAGTAACGTTTTATTGATGATGAATGAGTCAAGAAGTGTCAAATTACCTGCATTGCCATGACATCACAGTAGTGCTATTACAGACAGCTGGAATGGTATCCTGCATGGAAAGTCCTGTGTGCGTTGTTTGTGCGAACTTTGCTGTTCTGGTGAGCATGTGCGGTTCATACATAGATAAATGAAGCGTTCGTAAGCATAATATCCAATTAGTGGAATAATAAGCTATTTTGAATTTTGAGCGTGGTGTGTGTGCAAGCTACTCGATGTTGTGCTTTGCTGCTCTTATGCTTTGGTCAGTGCAGCAACAAGCTGCTCTTGTATGGTGCAAGCCATTGAAATGAATGGGTTTCATAATGCAGTCTTTCCATATGTGCGGAAACTGCTGGGCTGTGTGTGTTCTATTTATTTATTTTTCTCATTCGAAAATTTGTTGTATACCTAATTAATTTTCAAAGATTTGTTAGAAACCAGGCAAGTTTCTCTTTATGAATGGATTATTGATTCAAATGATTTGTCCAAAACGTATTAATTTAAAAAATGTAAACACACCAAGCATTGTTGCTCTGAGATTTGCAAGTGTTCTGCTCTGGCTTTGTAAAAATTTTTTAATTGAGAAAACAAATAAAACAGAAAATATTGCTGCTGAAATGTAACTTGCTCAGTAAGAACCACTATGAGAAAACTGCTTTGTAAAATCACATTAGATTGATTGTTGTCTTCGATAACATTTCAACAATGCGTCTGCTATTTTTTTGCAGGAGCTTTTCCGAAAAGTGCGCAGTATTCTCAATAAACTGACACCGCAGATGTTCAGCCAGCTGATGAAGCAGGTGACTGACCTCACCATCGACACAGAGGAGCGACTCAAGGGTGTCATAGATCTGGTCTTTGAAAAAGCAATCAATGAGCCCAGCTTCTCTGTGGCCTACGGCAACATGTGCAGCTGTCTGGCCACGGTGAGTTAGACCTCATATTCAGATCACAATAAAGATAATAATAATAATGTTTTTTTTGTTTAGCACTTTTCCTACAAATGTAAAAACAAATAAAAAAAATAAAGAACAGATATATACTCAGATAAATGCATACATGCGCATACATATATGCACACACACAGTACAGTACATACATGTGAATATACACTCACCGGCCAGTTTATTAGGTACTCCTGTCCAGTTGCTCATTTATGCAAATTTCTAATCAGCCAATCACATGGCAGCCACTCAATGCTTTGAGGCATGTAGACATGGTCATGACGATCTACTGCAGTGCAAACCGCACATCAAAATAGTGAAGAAAGGTGATTTCAGTGACTTTGAGCGTGACTTGTTTGTTGGTGCCAGACAAGCTGCTCTGAGTATTTCAGAAATTGCTGATCCACTAGGATTTGCACGCACAGCCATCTCTAGGGTTTATCGAGAATGGTCCGAAAAAAAGAAAATATCCAGTGAGCGGCAGTTCTGTGGGCGACAGAGGAGAGGACAGAGTAGAATGGCCAGACTAGTTTGAGTTAATAGAAAGGCAACATTAACTCAAATAACCACTCATGATGCAGAGGAGCATCTCTGAACGCATAAAAGGATGTGCTATCATGTCAACAAGGACTAAAATCTTTAAAGAATGTTTCCAGTACCTTGTTGAATCTATGCCACGAAGGATTAAGGCAGTTCTGAAGGCAAAATGGGGTCCAAGACGATACAAGTAAAGTATAAGTAATAAAGTGGCCGTGAGTGTACATGCACACTGTGCATGCATACATATAAACACGTACACAATATACATAAAATTGCACATACTACTTCATATACTATTATATTTGTATAGAATTAAAAAAAGATATGTCTTATAAAGACAAATTTAATATCACACTAATTCATTAACAAAATTTTTATTTGTAATTTAGATTGACCATGTTTATCTTGAAATACAACAGGATGATATTCCTCAGCACATCTAAATCATTCACTTGCATACACATGCTGTGTTTGTAGTTAAAAGTGCCCATGACGGATAAGCCCAACAGCACTGTGAATTTCCGGAAGCTGCTTCTGAACCGCTGTCAGAAAGAGTTTGAGAAGGACAAGATGGATGACGATGCCTTTGAGAAGAAACACAGGGAGCTGGAGGCAGCTACTGCGGTATGTGCTCAAACATAGAATGTTGCTCTTAAAGGGATAGTTTGCCCAAAAAGTGACAATTCTGTCATCGTCCCCCATCTGTTCCAATCCTGTTTGAGTTTCTTTATTCTGTTGAATAAAAAGGGAGATATTCTGAAGTGTTAGAGAGAAAAAAAAACAGCCATTGACCTCCATAGTATTTTTTGTTCTAACTATGGATGTCATTACCTGCTTTTTCCCAACATCATTCAGACTATATTATTTTGTGTTCAACAGAATAAAGAAAATCCATTAAAGTAAATTGAGTAAACTGTCCCATTAAATGGCTCACAATGTATTCAGATTGTATATATGCTAAATTTTATGTTTAATAAATGCTGTGAGAATTTTCAGTTTATTTTGTAATTATTCATGTGGATTTTAATAACTTTTTTAGCAGTCGTAAATATGTTTTATTTTTTTATTTTAATATGATCAAATACAATGCAGTGTTTCCTCTAGGATTTTTTCCAGCTGTGTCGGCAGGCCCTTTACACAGATCTACCAACTACCTATGGCGATATTTCCATGACAAATGTTGTGAGCGCAATATTACAAGTCAAGGTTGCATTCATGCAATTCAAGCATGCTTTGCTTGCGTTCCGATCTCTGTTCATGCACAAAACTTCTCGTACTTCTCCCTTCAATATACGCTGCTCAAGTACAGATTTTCTTGTGCGCTTAAATAAAGGCTACTGAAGTGTATGCCTCCAACATTTATTAGATTTGCTGGGAATATTTATGAATGTCCCCAATAGACCTACAGTGCGGTATTAATGTGTCCTGAAGTAAAACGGCTTTAAACTCCAGCAAGATAAAGTCATTGAATGCAGAGCCAAAGATCTTTATCTATAAAGTATAATTATGTAAACTGTGTTCTTATTAACTGAAAGCTAAGTTGTGTTTGTTAGCCTCACGCATCTCACACCTGTCAGTCAGTCAGACAGTCAGCATGTTACCTTAAAGGTTTAAACAAATAACGCACAGCACTACGACGATTACAGAAAAGTTTGTGCTGTTATAATTAACTTACCTTTTTATACGTTTCGGTGCGATTATAGCTTGTTTTTAGAAAAAAAAAGAAGAAAAAAAATACAACTGAAGGTTTTGAATGAGAAGCTTTAGTGTAGCCATGGTGGGATGAATTTTGGTGTGGCGCCCCGCCATAGAAGAATAAATGTAGCGGAAACCAATGTGCAATGTGATGTAATGCAATGTATTATCAAAAATGTATTATCAAATGTATTATCAAAAATGTACTAATAATTATTGTGCTAATACCCAAACAATAAGTAAAGATTCAAAACAAAAGTTTTTGTGTGCATTATCATATGAGCAATAACATTTTATATCTGCTGTTAATTCTTATTTAATAAATTGTAATATTTGTTATATACATATGAATAATTTACCTGTCAAATTGAATTACTCTCATCTCCTCAACTTCATGAACGTGTAGTTCTTGATACAAATTTAGACAATTTTTCATGTTTTCTTTTTAATATTAACTTGTTGCACTGTTGTACAAAATCAGTATTGAACTTGTAATCGTGCTTATGTGAATGTTCCAAACTACTGCTAATGTTATCTTTATTAAACATATCATATAAATACATTTCTTTTTTTTTTTTAAGTATTCAGTAATTCAGTTTTTGCTGCATCCGGCCCTCAGTTATCAATTTGACATGCTTTTCTCATTCTCTCTCAGTCCAGTGAGCGGGAGAGGCTTCAGGAGGAGCTGGAAGAGGCCAAAGACAAGGCCCGAAGACGCTCCATTGGCAACATTAAGTTCATCGGCGAGCTCTTCAAGCTGCGGATGCTGACAGAGGCCATCATGCATGACTGCGTGGTGAAGTTGCTGAAAAACCATGATGAGGAATCACTGGAGTGCCTGTGTAGACTGCTCACCACTATTGGAAAGGACCTGGACTTTGAGAAAGCTAAGGTAAGCACGGTTTGTCCAGGTTGAGCATTAAAAATGGGATACACATTCATTTCCTGGTTGCATTCCAATTGAATTACGGGGTATAACAAATTACTCAACATTTAAATACTAGTTGAAAAAAAAATGGCAAAAAGTGAAGCAAGTTTATAATTATGTGTCATTATTTTGTAGTTTTGAATCAAATTATACATTTTTCATATTTATATTTTGTTATATGTAGTTTTATTGATATTGTATGTGTAATTTTTTTTAATTTAATCTGGTTAAAATTAGCCCTTCTAGCTAACTCTGGGTTCTTTACAGTTTTTACTGTTGATTAATGAGCACTGTCCCTGTTAAATAAATAAATTACATTAAATTTAATGACAAAAATGATTATCATCTATTAACCTTATCATGCATTTTAATTTTATTATTCGACATTGCAAAACAAAAAGGGCTACATAGACAATTGGTAAATGAAATTAAACTATACAGTGATGAGAGTTCAGCTCTTGGTGGTTGTGTTATGGTGTATTTGGAAACTATTTATCAACATAAACCAATCATCAAGTGCGGAACCCCCAAAGATTCATCTTCAATTCTGTTTCACTGTAGTTTTTGTGTATAGCTTTTGTTGTTTTGATATATTGAATCATAGGTGCAAAATGGCAGAGGGATGAGAAAATGCAATGAGTACCTCAGGAATAAGTGTAAAAATCTTTTTTATTCTCAGAAACTCAACTAAGGAAAAAATTCAGCAAAGTGTCACCAGCAAATTTTTGGGGGAATATTTGTGCTGCATTATTTTTTAAATTCTTAATTCATGTTTTCATTTGTTTGTGTTTTTTTTTAATTGTATATTTATTAGTGAAATAGTTTTGCCATAAATGTATCCTTTGTTGCTGAGATGGCATTAAATAAAAATAAATGATGTGATATATGGCTTTTATTCTCAGAAAATCAGACAGGTAGTGTAAATAATTTGATGTTAAACAAATATGTTTTAATCTAGTTTTTTTGTATCATATTTTCACCACTATATTGTTTTATTACACACCAGTATAGATATGCATAAGTTATTTTAATGCTTCTATCCATTTGTATATATAACTATATAACTACCACAAAATATAATGTATGGAGAATTTTTTCACCTTTGTGATTCAATTAAAGCATGAAAGGGCAAATTTACCCTTTGCAGTTTAATTGACAGGCCAATTAATCTTTATGCCAGTATTGTTTTCTGTTGCAGCATCTAAATTTACTAATATGTTGCTTATTTCAATGCATTTTTCAAGAAATCTATGTTGGCCATGGACTTGTCAAAAGAAACTCTTGAGTCTGTCTTCCCTCCTCTTTCCACTTGCTGTTATGTACTTGTTGACAATCTGTGTAAACCCCTGCTGGTCCTTACGTCCTTATACTCAACAGAACATATGGATGCAGTTTAACATCTTACAAGTTAGCTTAGAAGCGTCTGTTTCAAATTAGTCATTTTAATGTCCTCAACAACTCACTTTGCAAGTGACTACATAGTTTACCTGAATGTCGTTATTTATTTGCTTTGTTTTTTTTTTTATAGCCACGAATGGATCAGTACTTTAATCAGATGGAGAAGATAGTTAAGGAGAGGAAGACTTCTTCACGCATTCGCTTCATGCTGCAGGATGTTATTGATCTGCGATTGGTGAGTTCTGTGTTTTCCGTTTGCTTTCATACTGTGGTCAACGTAAGCTTTTCTTTTTTTTTTTTTACTTAAGCTACCTTAAGTTCAGAAGTATAGCATATGATTTGAAGCTTGTTTGGTTTGCTATAATGTTGTTTGTAACAAAGTTGTACTTTAAAAAAGTGCTGCACAATATATCATTTCAACATTGATATCGCAATTTGTTCATTCGCTATAATCACATCGCAGGATCTTCAATGTTGAGTTGGGATAATTGTTGTTTATAATCAGTGCAGAGTTGAATCAAAATGGAGAAAAAGTTTAGCTTCTACTTGGGTTTTTAAAGAGATAATTCACCCAAAATTTAAACTTTACTCACTTTTTTTAAACGTTTATGAGTTTCATTTTTTATGTTGAACACAAAAAGAATATATTTAAAAAAACTTCTAACATTTGAAACGAGTGAAGGCTGAGTAAATAGTGAGTTATTTTTAATTTTTGTGTGAAATATTCCTTTAAAGCCTGTAATTGTGTGAACATTTAAAACATCAGGCCACAAGAAACTTTAGTGTTTGTAATTTTAATAAAGTTTAAATTGTATACAATAAATGCTATGCAGTGTTGATTGTTCAATATCTGTACCAGAAAACTATCATTCACTTATCTTTGCTATTTTTTTTATTTGTCTTTGCTCGTAAGTTATTCGATATATATGTGTGTGTGTATATATATATATATATATATATATATATATATATATATATATATATATATATATATATATATATATATATATATATATATACTAGTTAACATTCAATGCATTTATTTTTTCACTTATCCCATAATTTCTAAAATATCAACCTCTACCAAATGTTTGATATGTTGGTTAATGGTAGGTACCAGAATTAATACATGTAATATGAAAAATATGAAAATATGAAGTGTAAGACCAATTTAGAAAAAAAATCCAAAAAAAACATTTTTGAACACTGACTCAACTTTATTTTTTGAAGTGTGCCATAAAATATTTTAGATTCTCATTCAACATGTTTCATGTTTTTTTTTTAACAATAAAGTTGTATTTGTAGTTCTACTAATCTAGTAGGGCAACAGGATTATTTTTGTTTGATTCCTTTGTAAACCAACAATGTTGTGTGTGTAAACCATTATTTAAAATCAATCTTTTTTTAAATTACTTTAGCAGTCATTATTTAAAACAATTAAAATATGGTCAACCATTTGTTAGAGCGGGCAGTTACATGCTTAAAACACTTAATATTTAAATTTCTTGATAAAAATATTAATTTATAATATTAATTAATTTAATTACATTTCTTTAAAATGAATGACTGACCAGACATTTGAACTGTACCTGCATGCTTACGGTATTCTATTTAACGATAGCAAACAGGAATTATGCAAAGCATCAGAAATTCTATTAACGTTTATTTTGTGTAATATTTACTCAAATTCAAAGACATTTAGAAACAATTAGCCTCTGAAAAGGCTACATTTTATAGTTTTGTCTCCACATTTTTGACAACACAGGAATGGACATAATAATCTCAACATGGCTAAATATTTGTTAAAAATTCACTTAGAATATTCTATCATCATCCTCATTTTTCTTAATCATGAAATATGTTACAGCATGGTCATGTTTCATTTATTTTTGGTTGTCGTTCTGGAGTTCCCAGATCAAATTTTATGTTCTTCTCTCATCTCAGCACAACTGGGTTTCTCGAAGAGCAGATCAGGGCCCCAAGACCATCGAGCAGATCCATAAAGACGCAAAGCTGGAGGAGCAGGAGGAACAGAGGAAAGTCCACCAGCAACTGCTTTCCAAAGACAACAAGAGGAGACCAGGTCATAGAGAGAGACTTGTGCTATAGGCTAATCCTCTTTACAGCTTACTCAGTCCTGTGAGACTCTTTCTGTTTTTCACTCTGTTTCTCTTCATGTTGCAGTGGTGCAGAGAGAGGAGACCTGGAGCACTGTGCCTATGACTAAGAACAGCAGAACAATAGACCCCGCCAAGATTCCCAAATTCTCCAAGGTAGAGTCTAAAAGAGGTCAAACTAAAAACTTTTTTCTCTGATCAGGTCTTGAGATGGCTAACGTAGCTGTGGTTTAGAAAAGGAGATTCCAGATCGACCATTCTGCTTATGTTTTCACACTTCCTGACAATCAGTTTGAAGAAAGGAAGCTGCGTTTTTATGTAAACAGTTGATCTTATCAGCTGAGTGACACCTTGTGAAGGTTAGGCCAAGCATGAGTTGGTACACATCAAGGTTATTTTTGAAAAACAAAACTTTAACTAAGACTAAAACTATTGTTCAAAACAGTTTTATTGACTAAACTTAAATAATACAATTCCAGTAACTGAAAAAAATAACTAACAACAATTATTGAAAAACATAATAATATTAATTACCAAAAATAAATGTTTTTTTTATTTATAATTTATATTCTGTGGTTATGAACGAGAATATATTTTCTATGTAAAACATAAAACTTTTGTTGTATCTTTTCTTCATTTGTCAAAAAATGTAAACGATGCATTTTTAACTATACAGACTGATCATTAATATGAAGAAGTTTGTCTGAATTCTATGTAAATTGTACTTTTATGTATGGCATTTGTATGTTTTTTTATTCCGTGTTTGTTCAAACAATTATGTTTTTATTACTAAGAGGTTTCCACAAGAATTAATTCAAATTGTGCAAATGCTAAACTTTGCTTTGGTCGACACTGGACTTGTTCTGTTAACTCTGTTAAACTACAGTTACTAAAACTGAAACTAAACAAATAAAAAAATAAAAATGTGTTTGCAAAATAAACACTAAACTAAAACTAGCGAAACCATTCCAGCTCTTAGACACATGATAATGTATCAATCAGGGCTCGAAATTGTGACCATTTTGGTCGCATATGCACCCAAAATTTTATCTATGCGACCTCAAAATATATTTGGGAGCATTTCTGCGAGTGCTCAGAATTGTTGTGTGCGACCAGTTTTTACTGCAAAATGTTCACCACATGCCGGATTCAGGAGACATTCACGCAGAATACATTTCTAAGCTATTTATCTGCACTTGAAACGCGAATCGCAGCGCTCAGGAATGGTTTAAAACAGTTGTCTTGTCAACTTGCGGCTTACACTGAGTAAACTAATAATGCTACTCTTAAAAAAACGGTATTGCTATTAACATTACGTATGCATATAATAAGGTACAGTATGTCAAAAGCATTAGTGCAATATCAGACACCACCCATGAGAACAGCACAGTTATACCGTTAACAGATTCATGTCACGCAGGGTGTGCAGGGCCGGTGAGCGGTCTGTGTATCTTTTGCTCACTCAGTTATGTTATAAAATGTATTTTCTTGTGATAATGGGATTTCTTTGAGACATGTTTTCCTCACGCTTGCATCTATATATACATACATACATATATATTGCATATATATATATATGTATTGCATAAATATATATATATATATATTATGCAATAAATATGTTTGTATAACACTTGTAGTAACGGTGCTTATAATTGGTGGGTGCGACTAAATTTTGGCTGATGCGCCTAAATTTTTTAAGTTAGGAGCACCGGTGCTACAAGGCAAAAAGATTAATTTCGAGCCCTGATCAATGTCCAGATTTTTTGCTTGATTTATTGACTTTTTGCTGAAATATGAACTGTATAGTGTAGGGATTACAGAATTAATGAACAAGTGAGCAATTTTGGACATGGCTACAATAACAAGGATCGATTCTTGTTTTTGAGATGACACTAATTTTAGGGTTTTAATTTTAATTGACATTTGAGGAATATAATGAGTTCACTACACTTGTTTTGCTTTCTTGTCATTAAGTACAGCATAAATGTTGCAGCACATTTTAGATCATTTCTAAACAATGCATTATATTAGAGAAAGTAGAGTAAATATTACAGATAATATTATAGAAAAAATATTAAGATTTCTCTAATTGTTGCATATTTGTATTTATAATTAAAACTCTTTAAATATATAATTTTTAATATATGTTTGTATTTTATTTAGTTTTATTGTTGTTTTATTTTACAGTAAAAAAGTAAGTGAAAAATATGAATCAGCATTTTCATATTTGTCATTTTTTGTCAATTTTATATTTATATAGTAGTCTATTCTAGGCTAGTTTTACAACGCTAACTTGTTGACCATAAAAGCACGACAAAATCATAAAGAACCACTGCAAAACGTTTCAAATAAACAAATATATTTATATAATATAATATATATATATATATATATATATATATATATATATATATATATATATATATATATATATATATATATATTTTTTTTTTTTTTTATTCTATTACAGAAACAATTTTTGGAGGCTCTGTAAATATGCTAAAAGCTTATTTGACTCAACAGCCCCATCTGATGGATGTTCTGTTTGCTTGTGTGGTGGAATCTTACTATCTTATTGATTGTGGGGATCTGCAATGCTGCACGTTTTACACATCATGAAGCTCCCTGAGAATCAGCATCTGTTTGTATCACGCTATTCAGTAAAGGAGATATTTAGGCTTCCCGTGGGCATGGAATTTTCTAGAATATCATGGAACTTTAAAATGTCAGTTTTTAGACATTGAAAGTCAGGGAATTTTATACTTGTTTTGACTCATGAAAGTCATGAAATTTCAGGGAATTTTTGCTTGTCATTTTAAGTTTTGCTTGCCTCCTATTCATTAAAATGCCTTTTTGTACTCTACCATGTTTTTTAATCATGTTATTTCATGTATTTTGTCCGTATGGTTTGGCTACTTTTCAGTGCCATTTTATTCCTTTTCCCGCTTGGCAAGAGACAATCAAATGCAGTTACCAGGATGAACCTGTTAAAATAATGTCTTTTGGCTGTTTTTGTCTTCTCAGTGCTCAACCCTTCCCACCTCGATTTTGCATAATTTCGTGATTTTTACCACATAAAATAGTTGAGTTTGAGGGTGATTTTAAACAGATTTGTGGCAAGATTTATTGTGTGCTTTAGCTTTCAAAAAAGACACAAAATTGCACTTGTTTGTTCTTCAAATTCATTATCCTGTAATGCAATTCAAAATATATGAAGAAAAAAAAACATGAATCACAAAATAAGGAAAACTGTTAATTCAGTTTTTTTATTTAGGAAAAGTCAGGGAATTTGACATTTGGCAAAAACCCTGGATATACAGTGTACTGTTCTATATAAATGCATGAGAAAATGTAACTTGATGCTGATGAAACTGGTTTGTTTTGTCTGTGTGTGTGTCTTATTCAGCCAGCGATAGATGAGAAGATTCAGCTGGGGCCGAGAGCTCAGGTGAACTGGATGAAGGGCAGCAGTGGTGGAGCTGGAGCAAAGGCCAGTGAGTCAGGTAAATTAAGACTGATGTTCTGTCAGTTCCTGCTGTTTTTCTTCTTTATGCTGGATTAACTGGATATATACTAATTGCTAACTTTTTTTTTTTTTTCCTGACTTGCACCCTTTAACTCTTTTAGATGCGTCTCGGCCGAGTGCCAGTTTGAATCGTTACTCTCCTCTGCAACCCTCGGCACTCCAGACTTCTTCTTTACCCTCCACATCTCCAGATTTTGATTCCAGGAGAGTTCTCGGCAGGTACGGTGCACATGTAAAATATCAAAATTGTGAAGGGGAAGATTTATTCTTATATTATTATTCTGTGGTGGTTATCAGCTATTTTTATATGTGTAAATGTGTGTCAGATGTACTCTGAATGAAGAACATGTAATCTGTGAACAGGTCTTTATTCCGTGCTTTCTTATTGTTATAATTTTATTGTTATAATATAGTATAATTGTAGCATGTGATAATTGAAGTCTTAAGGGAATATATAATTAAATACAATTTAAATAATAGTAGGATAACGCATTCATTTTACAGGATTCTCACGGGTCTTGAAATTTCTGGAATATCATGGAAATTTAAAGGTGCTATTCCAGATATTTAGAGTCATGGAATATCAGAGATTTTTGTTTGTTGCTTTAAATTTTTTACTTCCCATTAACCAAATTGTAATTTTTAAATACCATTTTTATTGCTTTTTTTTTTTGTTTCATGCCTGTTGATATGGGCTGTTGTTAAATGTAGTTTATTTTTTCCAGTTGCAGCCACTTATGTCAAACTCACCAGATTGTACCTTTTAATTAAGGCTAACAATTTGAGGAGCTTCGGCTTCAAAATAACTGCCTTAAAGACTAGATGTTAAAAAGTAGATAAAAAAAAACTAAATGTAAAGTATGTAAAACTAATATAAAGTAATCAAATTTGGGAGAGAAAGCAGTTTGCTGCCATGCAAACACTTTTTTTATTTTGTCAAAATTGGTAAATTAGCCATTATTGTTCTCAGAGTGGCTATAAAGTCCTGCAAAAGACATTCAAGCTAAAACCATTTTAATATCAATCAAAAAACAACAGTAGCTGCTTTTCCACTATCGTGCCAAACCGTTCTAAGAACACTTCGGTACGGTTACGGTTGTTTCTCCACTGAGCCTGGAACGGCGCGGCACGATTACAAACCGTTCTTGGCCCGGAATTCTCGGCACGGTTAGACAACCGTGCTGAACTGTGCTGACAGATTCTGTGTGTTGACGTCGCGACTCGGTTGCTAAGCTACCACAGCTGGCTCAGCAGAAGCGCGCTAGTCATCAGACATCCTAAATAAACTACAGTACATTTAATATAAAATAATGATCCAGGTCTAAACGATACAGTTTGAAAAAGGTTTTAAAACCATAGAGCAGTCTCTGGCAGAGAAGTGAATAACTCATCACATTCTTACGAAGATATTTTATTCATTAAAGTTATTATTTTATTGACTTGAATACAGACCTACTTCGCCTGCCTGAATGTGAGTTTATTGCACGCAGCGCTGTATTTCACAGCACAAAACTCGCTCTGATCCGGGAGAGAGATGCCAGCGATTTGCGCTGCTGACTTTTTTTTCCTGCTGCGCATCGAATAAAGCGAATAAAGTCACACTCAGCATCGTCGATGTCCAAATTCCACAACAACATAACTAAATCCATGGAACACGAACTTGCAGACTCTTTTAACAACGAGGAAATAATTGCACTTTTTAATTCAAAGCCAGGACAGCTTGTTAATTCCGGCGAGACCACCTGAAGGACGGCGTGTTGTAATGTCGGCTGTCCAAAAGACTTTGCTTGAAAGCTTTACGGAGCGGCACTGTAACTGTCCAAGGTAACGTTACTGTTGAATGATTTATATTATAGCATATGCACTAATAAACAAGTCAAAACAATGAATGAATTAAATAAATATGGATTCTTAAATGTCAGTATTGCTTTTACTCAAAAAATATCAATACGTTTTGACAAATGTTTTATAAAAATAAAATGAGCAATTTTCATCATTTCAGCTATAGGCAATTATATGATTCAGTTATACATATGACATTTATGAGGCATGTAACATGTTTCTGTGTTTTTGTTCTTGGTGATCTTTAATATAGCTACGCAAATATTTTCTAAAACGTCAAGCAATAATTCGCCTTCAGCTTGTTAGTTAATTATGAACACAAAATAATTATAATAATAAAAATAAAATTATCAAAATAAAAAGATAATAGAGCAGCATTTTGCTAAATATAATAGTGCTTTATATGCTTTATATCCTGCTATATGTGTTGTTTCAAATTCGTTTTTTATTTCACTTGCTGCATTCGTTATTTAATGTTTGAATAGTAAAACAAATAACAGCCATCGCTTAATTGGTTTCATTTTAACATCATAATGTAGTATATTTTATATCATTATCAACTTTTGATATAAAAACGCAGTGTAATTTAATTAATTGTTAAAAATGAAATAATTTATGTGCTGTGTTTATATTAGTGAAAGTGCCCGCTCAACTTTGACAAGGCCTGTCCAAAATTATATTTCTGCCACTATATGCAAATGCACTATTATTTTTGTCTTATCATTCTTTATTTTTCTGTTATGTTCAGAGATTTTAAATATTTATTTCCCCTCTAATTATTTTCAATCATCACGTTACATTTTGGTAATTTTCCCTCCAAATAAAATTTAGCCAAAGCTGCGCAACATATAAATAAATAAGGGTGCACACGTACCTATATTTAGCACCCCTATTTGATAGAGCGGCATAACAGTGTTTAGTCACATGGTTGCTTTTGCTTTTATGAAAAAAAAATACTTGTTTCGGCTCTTATTTAACTTTAATTGAACAAAGGGAGCCGTTTACATTGCGTTACCAAGGCAACTACTGATGCGTTTTGTGTAATGTTTTAAAGAGCTTTGTCGCAGCACGACAGTGGAAAATGAAACCGTATCCGTGCTGTCTGGCCCGGTTTGGCACGGAATGGAACAGTTCTGTTTAAAGAACGATTCAGCACGATAGTGGAAAAGCGGCTAGTGACCTGTTTTTCTGTAAGTCATAGAAATTCATTCAGCATATACATTAGATTAGTCAGTACTGAAGCCAATCTGGAGCTAATCTAACAAAATAATTCACGATAATGGTCCAAAAATTTAAAGTCTAAATTTACATGTTGGGGAAAAATATTCAATAAAAATTTTAAAAGGGCAAAATTCAAGAGAAACAAAAATTATCAACAATTTTATTCACATTTTTGAGTTTGTATTTTTGGTTTTGTAAAATTTTGCATGAATGTAAATGTATTATCTTTCTATTTCTAAATGTGTTTGGTGACTAAAATATTATTTTAATAAATATATCAGTTTAAATTTGTTCAAATGCACCAAATTACATTACTTGTATTAATTGAGAATTGGATACAAATATTCATTTTCAAAATGATGCTGAGCACTGTAAATGAAACTTACAATTTATACATTGTATTATTTAAATGTATTTAATAAACTAATTGTTTGATTTGAATTGAATTGAAGGAAACCTCTTTTGCATTTTGGAGGTTCATGAATGTATTTGTTTGTGTGTGTGTTTGTGAATATCTCAGTCGTGGAAGCTCAGGACGGGAGCGCAATGACAAGCCATTGAGTGCGGGTCCTGCTCGGACAGGGCCTATTTCATTGAGCAGTAGCAATAAGGAGACCCCCGAAGAGCTGGTTCAGGAAGTGTCCCGCAGAGACTCCAATGCTTCAGATACACCCAAGCTGCTCGTCAGTACTGCAGACAAGAGCAGACTGGAGAACAGCCAACCCAGAGAGTCTGGTGAGCCGCACAGACTCCATCATAATGACAGCTCTAATTTACATTTAAAGAGATTGTTTATATTTAAAAATTTGAACTGTCATCATTTACTTGTGATCATGGTCGAGGAAAACGTTTCCTGACTCGCTCTGCCAAAACACCCCAAAGTTGCTCAATAATATTTAACTCTGGTGACCGTGCAGGCCATGGGAGATGTTCAACTTCACTTTCATGTTCATCAAACCACAGCCTTAACTTGTTCCAGACCTGTTTGAGTTTTCCATTTCTGTAGAACACACAGAACAGAAGACATTTCAAAAAATGTTGGAAACTTGTCCATATTCATGTTTATTTCCCAACTATAGAAGTCAATGGCCACCGATTACCAACATTATTTAAAATATTTGTGTCTTTGAAATATTTAAACCACTTGAGGGCGGGTAAATTTATATTTTTTGGATGAACTATACTTTCAGGATTAAATCCTAAATTAAAGGCTCTCTATTTTCAGCTGTTAAACTTGAAGCACTCTCAGGGCCCTCTCCAGATAAACCTGCATTATCAGAAGAGGAGATGGAGAGGCGGTCCAAGTCTATAATTGATGAGTTTTTGCACATTAATGATTACAAGGTTTGGATCTATATTTTTCAATCTCCAAAAATTATATTGCCTCATAAAACCTTAATTAAGGTGTTTCTGAACATTGTGTGTGTTTGTGGTGCAGGAAGCTT